ACATCGAACGAGACGTGGAGAAGCGGAGCATGCGAGTGCACCAACGGAAGTACCTGGAGGCGTTGGCTGCCAACTTTGGCCAGAGTGAAGGTCATGTGGCTACTCCCTTTCCCTCTGGGTTCAAGTGTGTGAAGGGACCAGAGGAGGAGAGCGTTTGTGAAGAGGAGAGGCGCCGTTTTCACTCGTTGGTGGGCAGCCTCATGTATGCGGCGGTAAACACCCGACCGGACGTCGCGTTTGCTACCGGGCAGCTAGCTAGGGTAGTGCAATGCCCTAATGAGGAGCAGGTAGCAGCTGGAATGAGGGTGGCCAAGTATCTTGGCCAAACACCGACCGTTGGGTTGCAATACTCGGCGGCGGCACAAAGGCGCCAAAAGGGCGCGGATGGTGTTGAACCCGGGCGTTTGTTCCTCACCGCCTACTCGGATGCTTCATATGCATCAGAACCAGAGGACATGACAAGTGTGGGAGGCTTCATATGCTGTGTTGGTGGAGGCCCAACTGCTTGGGAGAGCAAGAAGCAGGTTGACCAAGCTTTGAGCTCGGTGGAGTCCGAGTACATGGCACTCTTCCGTGCCGTACGGGAGATTGTGTGGCAGCGGCGTTTGTTGGCTGAATTGGGGGAGGAGCAGCAAGGACCTACCCCACTGTACTGTGACAGCCAGGGTGCCATTGCTCTTGCTAAGAACCCTGTGTTGCATGGACTCACGAAGCACATGAGGGTGAAGTGGCATTGGACGAGGAGCATGGTAACCGCGGGTGAAGTTGAGTTGCGCTACGTGAAGACCACGGGGCAGCCGGCTGACATGATGTCCAAGAGGCTGGTGGAGCAGCAGCATTGGAAGTGTTGCAAGCTGGCTGGGATGGCTCTGAACTGAGAGAGCAACATATCCTAAGGCCAACAATCCGAGGGGGAGTTTGTTGGTGCAACCCTACGGTTTGCACTCGGCTTGTTGTCCGTGTGCGTGCATGTGTGTGTGTATGGAATGGTATAAGGGCATGGGATAATATATATTTCATGCTTATAATTGTGTGTGAATGTTGAGTCATGATGTCGAGTGTGCGTGTCGAGTCAATAGCGAGTTATCGCTAGACGCGTGTTACGCGGTCGTTTGTGTCTCGCGCGCGGTTTCTATTTTGTCGTGCGCGGTTTCTATTTTGTCCTGTGTCGAACGTTCGGTGTGTCGCAGGTGTGTGCAGCAGACCCATCAAGAACTCAAGGATGAGTTTGTGATGAAGAGCCCGAGCCTTGGTGTCAAGCCTCAAGTGATTTCGAAGCTCGCCAAAAGGGTACACCTCAAGATATTGAAGATAGTTACATTACTTTGTGTAGTGTAACATTTCACTTGGTGTAGGCCCTAGTGAAGGGTAGTTTCGAGACCCTTCGTGGTTGGGGACAGTGTGGCACTGTTCCACATCACTGTACCTCGGCTCTTGGGGTTTGTAGGAGCTGGGAGTCATTCCCAACTCATAACTCTTCCTAACTCTTCCTATCTTGTGTTCTAAGACTAGAGTGGCTGCCATAGTGCCGTTCGTTCAAACTGACGCTGTGTCGTCAATACTTGGTGAAATCGTGCGATCTAAATTGCCTATTGTAGGCGACAATAAGAAGCTCCAGATCCAAGTTGAATCAAGTCATTTGAAGCTGTGACCAGAACGCTATGAACGTTTGAAGCCGCTGTGCAGAAATCCGACTGTGCACTCTATCTTTCGTTTTAGGCACATTGGAGCCTACTGTGACTATAACAGGCACACCCGCCAACGGATACCACGACGGCGACGGTTCCTTTGCTCGCCAAAGTCGATGAGCCTGCTGATGAGGATGTTCTTGCTCCTCCCTTCCCCGTCGCAGATCCGCCTGCGTCGACACTTTTGTCGGCCACCGGCGATGAGGGGAGCCTTGAGGCGTCGCCTGTGGCGCCGGCCAGTGGCATCGCCGGCGGTCGACAAAACACCAAGCTAGTCGACCAGGATGAAAATTCGTCGACGACAGGGGAGCAGCAGACAGGGGAGCCGGTTGAACAAGAGGCATCACCAGGGGTGCAATCGACAAGGGAGCTGACGAAGTTAGCAGAAGACTTGGTCGTCGACGAAGAAGGGGAGCTGTCGGCAGGAGAAGAGTCCACCGACAGCGACGTGGTGGAGGTGCCGATCACGAAGCCTGAGCTGCGACGCACTGGTCGAGCTCGACGGCCGCCGGAGCGGCTGAGCTTCCACACCTGCCTACCACCAGCTGCCTTCACCACTGTGTACGACGAGGTCGACGACGACCTGTTGTACGACAACCCCAAGGAGGATGAAGAACTGCCAGAGCTCGACCCCGACGTACATGCCGACCCCGAGCACCGCTGGGACATCGCCACGATGACAGTGAACGAGGCGCTGGCGAGTTGGAAGGGTGAGGCGGTGAGGGCCGCCATGGAAGAAGAGATCCGCAGCCTCACCGGCATGGGCACTTGGGAGCTGGTCGAACGCCCACGCGGGGTAAACATCATGAAGAACCGATGGGTGCTGACAACCAAGTACCGCATCGACGACACCGTCGAGCGCGAGAAGGCGAGGCTGGTCGTAAAGGGCTTCACGCAGGTGTGCGGTGCCAACTACGACGAAACGTACTCACCGGTGAGCAGCTACATCACGTTGAGGATCTTCCTCAGCATCGTCGCCGTCCTCAACCTCAATCTGATGCAACTCGACATGAAGAACGTTTTCCTGCAAAGCAAGCTCGAAAGGGTGCTCTACATGTACCAGCCGGACTACTTCGACGATGGGACCGGCCGGGTGTGTAAGCTGCTGAAGAGCCTCTACGGGCTGAAGCAGTCGCCGCTGCTGTGGTACAGGGCACTCGACGGAGTGCTGCTGGGCGCTGGCTGGAAGAAGAGCCAGGTTGACGAGGCGCTCTACTTCAAGGCCAGTGATGACGGGGTGACCTGCTGGGTGCTGGTCTACGTTGACGATCTGCTCGCCGCCAGCAGCAGCCCCGCGATGCTGAAGGAGCTAAAGGGGCTGTTAGAGGCTGCCTTTGAGCTGCGTGAGATCTCGCCGGTCGTCAAGTACCTCGGGCTGGAGATCGTGCGTGACATGCCAGCAAGGAAGCTGTGGCTTCACCAGCAGGGCTACGCCGATAAGCTGCGTAGGCGCTTCATCGACGAGGAGCAGGGCGGTCGAGTCCCGAAGACGCCGGTCTCGGTCGATGCCTACGCCGGGCTGACATTCGACGACGAGGAGGCCCAGGAGCACGAGGAGGAGGAGTACCGGCAGAAGGTTGGCTCGCTGCAGTTCGCGGTGACGACGACAAGGCCGGACATCGCGTTTGCCTGCAGTAAGCTGGGAAGCGGTCTCATGGTGAGGAGCGACCAGCATTGGCGAGAGGTCGACCGCTGCCTCGCCTACCTCGCTAACACCCGCGACACCGCCCTGGAATTCGGCGGTGGACCAGAGTCGCTGGAGCTGATTGGCTATGTGGACGCCGACGATGCGGGCGACAAGCAGAACCGGACGAGCACGGGAGGCTACGTGTTCGTCTACGGAGGGGCCGCCGTCTCCTGGTCGAGCTCGCGCATCAAGTGCGCGACATTGTCGTCAACAGAGTCGGAGTACGTTGCGACCACAAATGCAGGCAAGGAGGGACGCCGACTTCGCTTCCTTCTTGCGGAATTCAAGCTGCTCGGCGCTGGGAAGCCGACCATCCTGCGCGTCGACAACAAGTCGGCAATTACGGTCGCTGCGGGCTTGGGGTTGACAGGCAACCTCAAGCACATGGAGCGACGCTATGCCTGGCTGCCGCACATGGTGAGGCGCGGGAAGTTCGTACTGAGGTACATCCCGACCACCGAGCAGCCGGCAGACTTCCTGACGAAGGCGCTGCACTTTCCGGCTTTCAACCGGTGCACTGTCGCCATCGGCCAAGTTCGTCTGGCCGATATCGGCGACGGCGACGATGATGCGCAGCAGTAGGTGCCGTGCCCTTCTGCACGGCTGGTGCGGTGACGGCGTGCTTTGTGCGGGATGCACGCCAAGGACGAGTTTTCTCCGTGGAGCACTGCCGTGTGGGCTGGAGGCCCAAGCGTGAGCGTGGCAGGGGAGTGCTAACGGGAATGAAGTGTTGGCCCCGCCCTCGCTTGGGCAACGCCGACGACTTGGTCGGATGTACGGGAGTAGCAGCCGACCATCCGCAGTGGGAGAGCTGCTCGACACGCTTTGTCGAGCTGCAGGGGACCGCTGTGGTGTTGCTGTCGACCAGGGAGCTCGACAGCTGCAACTGACTGGTCTGGGCGACGGGTGGGTCGTCGACTAGGAGGGGCTGCTCGACCGGGAGGTCGACAGAGCAGTCCGTCGACCTGAGAAGTGAGCAGCGGTCGACGAGGGGAGCTCGTCGACTACAGCTGACAGTTTTGGTCGACGGAAGGGGTCCGTCGACCAAGGGGTAGCTCGACGGGAGCTGTGATCGACCAGAGGCACTTGGGGTTGTCCAGGTCGACCGGGTAACCTGCTCGGCGAGTTCTGCGGAGGCACACAAACGTCGCCGAGGTCGCGATGGCGAAGGTGACTTCGGATTGGTATCCCGAAGTCGATGTGGCTCGTCAGGCGCAGACAACAGCCGACGTATGCACAACGGTGCAAGTCAGGCCAATCGTCTGCGCGCATCGGTGAGCGTGAGCACTGTTAGCTACTACGAAGCAACGCTGGACAGCCGCTCTGCTGCAGCGTTGGCACACCGTCGACCTGCTGTGTTAGCAGGTCGCCTTTCTGCAGTGCTGGCACGGCTCATCTACGCAACGCTGGCAGGCGGTCGACCATGCTGTGCTGTCAGTCGACCAGGCTAGCTGCAGAGTTGCTATGTGCCTGATGTAGTCATTCTTGTCATTGCCTGTTTGAACAATTCTGTAATTCCAACTTTGCTAGTGAAACTCTTTGCCGATTTCTCTCGTGCTTGTGCAAGCACTAAGGAACTAGGCAAAGCTAAGATCACTCCTAGTAGTTCGTGCCAACCCCGTAGTCTAGCTCACCACCTTTGTAGAGTAATTCTCCACAGTGTCGTCCCTCTCAACCATATGAGCTCGTAGCTTCTTCAAGTACTGGCTCCCTTGCTTCCCTTGCATCGCCTTGAGGTCGTCCTTCGTGTTCCAACGAGCGGCCGCGAGTGATGTCAGCTCTGCGTCCAACCACACTCGCTTGTTGCGCTTCGCCGGCGGGCGCTTCTCCTTCTTCGATCGACGTGTGCTGCGGTCGTCACCGCTTCCTACTTCGGCACCGTCCGAATCTTCCTCTTCGTCGTCACTGCCGGCCTTGTAGTTGTCGGAATCGGCATCACTGTCCGATTCCGACACGATCTCCTCAAGATCGTCGTTGCTGACGTCCGTGTCGCCCCCAGTTTCGTCGTCGTCGTGCCCAGGACCGCTGCTAGTGCTGGCGCCAGCAGAGTCGCGCTTTGTCTTTGCAATACGCTTGATGGAAGGGGACGGCTTCCCCTGCTTTTGCTGCTCCTTCATCCATGCGACATACGGGGGGTCTTCCATCGGTTCATCGTCGCTAAGTTTCTCCTTTCCCTTGCCGCGTGCGCTTCGACGTGGAGGCATTGCTAAAAACGTAGATAGCGGGCTGGTTTGGAAGCTCGGGAAGACTTGTGAGGGAGATCTGTTTGCTCATGCTTGTGCTGATTGCCCAACTGCTGGAAACCCTTGCGTGGGGAAGTTGCAAGAGGGGTGTTTGGTTGGGTTGGGATCTGGAGCCGCACAGATCTGCATGTAACTCTACCCACCGGGAATTTTGACGGAGTTGAGGGTGGGGTGAGTGTCGCTCAACCAGATGAAGGAGTTCGTGTATCATGGAATGGCGCGTCTCAATTGGATGCGACTGTCGTGGGGCCTGAATTTTAGGCGGGAAAACCCACGCGCCAGTTTGGGGGTCGCATGAAGGCATTGGATCCAAAGTGGTGTTTTGTGTTGCTTGAGTCATCCGCAAAATGCGGATGCCCGGAACAGTGCCCATGACCGGAACCAAAGATACGCCCTTACTCGTTTCAATGTCGGTATCTTCTACGGTATCTCAATGTATAAAGTTGGTTTTAACGCCGTGAGACTATGTCTTGTGGCCGAACCAAATTAGAATATCGATAAATAATAATAATGCTGCATGAATTGCCGGGCATCAGTCCCGCTATGCACCATGATGCATTGCTGAACGGGGGATACTTGAGCAAACATGTGTTTGCACCGCGCGAACATTTTGGGCCAAGCTCATGCGCTTTTTGCCTCGGTGAAGGACCAAAGCAGAGGCAAATACCCAGAGAGGTGATGATTGCTGGTAGTAAGTCCCCACCCACAGATGATCCTGAAGTGGCCCTGTCAAGATAGATGGGACTTCCGAAGGATGAGGTTGCGGGATCAATCCCCAGAGTCGGCGAGTTCCGCCAGCCCCCCAGAAAGGGGTTTCACACTGCTCATCTGGAAGTGGATATATCCTTACCTCGATACTCAGTGAGGCGTGTAACCAAGTGGGTAGGCAGATTACGATCGACGGCTGGGGGTAACCCAAAAAGGGTTCTCCCCCCTCCTTTACCTTTACCCCACCCACAGATGGTTATGGTTTGAGACGGCAACGATGGCATACGCCTCTAGCAGGGAAATAAGAGGGTGAGAAATTTTTGTTGCTCTAAATGAGTTACTGAAAAGAGAAGGATGAAAGCCTATTGAATATTATTATAATGTAGTATTATACATTCATAAGATTATACCAGTAGTACATGCAGTTGAGAATCTGTGCTCATTATTCAGCGAATCCCACAATAGCGACACATCGAAATGAGAATGACTTCTGTCAGAATTTACAGCAGCCGTCGAATCCGAAATCCTCGCTCTGAATTTGATCCAACATCCCATCCCACCCTCCTCCCCTTACTGACAAAAAGCCGCGTCGGGTAGATTGTGTTGCTTCTTACGCCCAAGCGCCTGAAACTGGAACCAGGATTTTTGTTGTGAAGGCCACTTCATCGCCTTCCATCGACTCGCACGATTCACCACTCTCAGACTGCGGCTTCGAGTCAGACTGCTCCGACTCCCTCACGATCAGTCGCTTGATGAACGGCGGGAAGAACGGCCACAGTCGCTGCTGCAGCTCAAGCAGCTGCCAGTCGTCACATGTGACCACCCCACGGCAGATCGACGCGCCGCAGTGGCAACTGAAGTTGTCACTGCTGGTGCGGACGACGCCTGCGTTGGTGCTCCCGTAGTCGATGCTCAACTCTTCGCCTTGCACGATGTCCCGCAAGGCCACCACCGTCACCGAGTCTTCCAATCCGCAGTTTGGGTCGCACGAGTGGTTGATAAAGTCGGGCGTCTCGGGCCCACGCGTCGGATGCGGCACCTGCCAGAGGTGATCGTTGACACGCAGCGAGAGCTCTTGCGTGCGCTCGTCGCTTCCCAGCAGGTAGTCGAGGCCGACAAGCTTGCCGGCGAAGACGAGAAGCGGTTCGCCACGTCGGACGCTCGCCAATGCGAACATCCCCTTGAAGCCGTCCGCGCCGCCTTTGTAGCGAGGAACCACGCGCGGGTCGTACCACCCCGACTCGGCCATCTTCCGCTCGATATAAGCCGAGCAGTGGCCGGCGAACCGCCGCTGCCAGTCGTGCGAGCGCCACTCGGTGAATGTGAGCGTGTCACGGCAGCACGCGGCGCCGCAGCGGCAGTGCAGGCCGGCATGCATGCTACCCTCCGTCTCCGTGCAGGCGTAGTCGTACGTGACGTGCTCACCCGGGCGAATGTCGCGCAGAGCGACCATGCAAGTAGCGGTAGCGTACCACGTGTTGGGGTCGCACGAGTGGTTGTAATAAAAGCTCGGATCTTCGTCGGGGTCAGTTATCGTGTCGTACATGTCGTCACCGACCATGTACGAAAAGTGAATCATCATTTCGCGCTTCTTTTGATCGGGTTCCGCTGATAAGTCACGAGCGTGGTACACTCGCCGCGCAGCGGCCTCTTCTTCGTCCCAATCGCAAACGACCTCGCCTTGTGCGATAAAGCTGCGCGCGAACAGCCCGCAGCATCGGAAACCGTAGAGCTGGTGCTCCTTCACGACGATGTGCGGGTGGAGACCCATGATGGAGGAGCGAGAACGGTTGGAGGATGAGTGTGTGTGAAGCGTGCAGTCTGATGATGCGAGGAAATGGTGCGCTGAATTAGTTCTATCATTGCTTGAAAGTTGAGACTGATCCAAAACGCCGTGAGATGCTGTCTTTATGGATTCTAGGGGAATTGGTGTGGAGGCGTGATACACTGAACGAAGGCAGAGGCCCTCAAGGTGAGGTTAAGGAACTGTAAGTCAATCACCCACCAAAAATCGTTCGCGTTCCACACGAAAGTCGGCCCCATTCGCCCAACGAAATGCTGAGGCCTCGAGGTGAGGTGATGGAATCGGAGGCCAATCACCCACCTAGTATGATCGCATTCCAGACGAAGATCGCTTCCATCCGCCCAGAACGAAGGCGGAGGCTCGTCGATGTGAGGTGATGGAATTGGAAGCACATCACCCCACCTAGTATGATCACGTTCCAGACGATGATCGCCCCCCAAAGGCAGAGGCTCCTCAAGGTGAGGTGAATTGGAAGTCGATAATCTGGTGATAGACTTCTGATTCCATCTGGTACGTTTCTTGTACATTATTTGCGGTCTAATCTGTTTTGTCACGGTGCAAAACGGTGTAAGAGAAAACTTCTGACACCGTATCTAACCGTTTTAAAAGCGGTTAGAAGCGTACGAGTTGCAATTTCCCTACCATTGTTATGCTCCAGTGATGATATGCATGCATGCTTGGCGGATGGTCAATTGTCTTGGGCGAAGAATGACGTTCGCAACAATCGTAAATTGTCGTGGGAGTTGATCGCACGGTTTGCAGCCTAGGCGTACAACTCATCCATTCGTTGCCACACCAGACATTCGATAATACCCATCGCCTGGAACGCGATCATGTGTGCGTGGAAGAACCCTGAAACGGGAACACCGAATGAGTGATTGACGTGTGGCAACTTCCGCCAAGGCAGAGCATCAGCGGGAAGCCTATTTCTGAGAATTCAGCACGGAGCGTAGGATTTCTCGATCCGACGGTAAAGATGAAAATCGAAAATCGAGTCATCTCCGCATCTCACGCTTTGTGAGAGTGGAATCGCGTTGCGACCAATACCGTTCCACAGTGTACATTCCCCATGGGCAACACATGGATTTGAATCTCTCATGGTCAGCCAGGGGGCTGAAACTTGAACCTGTGACTACCCTGGACACTCTAGCTGCTGCTGCTGCCAGCCAGCTCATTTCCTCTCGAACAATTGAATCAACCAAGCTCTCTTCTTCACGAAGTGCGTGACAAAAGAATCTCACGCATCAGCCCCTTTTCTCGTCTCGGTAGCTTATCGATTCAACACGATGATCCGAGCAATCCTGGCTATAATACACGGAGGAGCGAACCATAGCGTGAAAGATTGACTGAGAAAGACGATAGCCAAAAAGGAGTCTAACAGAACAGATACCGCTACTCACCAACTATTGGACAACCAGACGCGTGCGAGTTATTTCTATCCAAAGCAGGGGGGGGAGACCCAGTTCAGTCGAACGGGCGAACAGACCGATGGAATAACAAACTGACAGTAAAAGCAAGCAGGAAATTCCGTCGTAGGCAGCCAAGCGACACGAAAGCAACAGATTTTACCTGTCGACAGCGACAGTTGAGGCGGGTCGAGGTGCCAGCAGCACCCCAGTCCGACCAGTGTCTCCGAAGTTGCGATTCAATGGACGGAGGCGAGATGATGATATCCCTGGATCTGGTTCAGCCGCAGCAGAAGCAGCAGCGAACTGGCAATCCTGTGGCCGCTGATCGGAGTGTCAGCGAGACGCGTTACTACTCTGACGATGCGACAATTACCGGCGACATTTGCGACAAGGAGGAAGGACGGTTGCTGCTCGCAGGGGCGTGCGACAGTCGCGAGGATGGCGGAGCATCGATGCGACGATCGGCGGCAGAAGCGACGGCCACGGGTGATGGCCACGGCACCAGCAGCGGTTCTGCTTCTGCTACTGGTTGTGGTGATGCTGATGATTTCGGGGAGGTGGAAGAAGGCGAGGGGGACGATGGAGAGCCGAGCCTATGGTCGGCATTGGCGTTTGCATGGGTGAGCGCGCTGCCTGCTTGGCTGGCTGGTTGTTTGGTTCCATCCAAGTAACTATCTCTCTTCCTTGCTTCCTTCGGCGTAGCGCGACTCAGGTTGCGCGACTCGTCCTAGGGAGCTTAGGTTGCGTGTGCGCGACTCAATTTTCTTGCCTCTCAACTGTTGGTGCAACCCTACGGTTTGCACTCGGCTTGTTGTCCGTGTGCGTGCATGTGTGTGTGTATGGAATGGTATGAGGGCATGGGATAATATATATTTCATGCTTATAATTGTGTGTGAATGTTGAGTCATGATGTCGAGTGTGTGTGTCGAGTCAATAGCGAGTTATCGCTAGACGCGTGTTACGCGGTCGTTTGTGTCTCGCGCGCGGTTTCTATTTTGTCGTGCGCGGTTTCTATTTTGTCCTGTGTCGAACGTTCGGTGTGTCGCAGGTGTGTGCAGCAGACCCATCAAGAACTCAAGGATGAGTTTGTGATGAAGAGCCCGAGCCTTGGTGTCAAGCCTCAAGTGATTTCGAAGCTCGCCAAAAGGGTACACCTCAAGATATTGAAGATAGTTACATTACTTTGTGTAGTGTAACATTTCACTTGGTGTAGGCCCTAGTGAAGGGTAGTTTCGAGACCCTTCGTGATTGGGGACAGTGTGGCACTGTTCCACATCATTGGAGCATCACAGTTTGACTTCATAGCTTTGATGCCCTTTGCCAGGGGCGACGAGCTGTTCTCCTCTTCTCCACCCCCTCTCCTCCCCGTCTCCTCCTCTTCTCCACCCCCTCTCCTCCCCGTCTCCTCTTCTCCTCCCTTTTCTCCTCCCGTCTCCTGCCCCTCTCCTTTCCCTCTCCTCCCCCCTCTCCTCCCCTCACTCTCCTCCTCTCCTCCTCCGTCCAGATTCAAGCATCACAGTTTGAGTTCATAGCTTTGATGCCATTCACCAAGGGAGCCGAGCTCTTCACGTCGTACGGCCCCAAGGTGAACGAGGAGCTGCTGCTGGGCTACGGCTTCGTGCTGGACGGAAACAAGCAGGAGAACGTGCTGCTCTTCCGCACGCTGCTAGATGCAGTGAACCTGGTCGCCCTCGTCCTGCACCGCGACGCCGCCCGCCCCGGCGAGTGGGTGGTAGGCCTGGGTGGCTTGGGTGGGGCGACTGAGAAGGGCGGCAAGACAGGGGAGGCTAGGGATGTGAGTGAGTGCCACGAAGGGATTGAGGGAGAGGGAGAGGAAGAGGAGGAGGGGAAGAAACGGACATGTGCAGCGAAATACGGGGATGAGGCTGTGGAAGGTGGTGGTGCGGTTGTGAGTGCAGAGGCGGGCAGCAAAGGGGATATGGAGCTGAAGCAGGGCTTGGCACGCATCTGGGGAGAAGGGCTGGGTGACTGGCTGGTCAACGAGGGTGCTGATGGTGATGCGGATGGTGATGATGATGATGATGATGATGATGATGATGATGATGATGATGATGATGATGATGATGATGATGATGATGATGATGATGATGATGATGATGATGATGATGATGATGATGATGATGATGATGATGATGATGATGATGATGGTTATGGTTATGACTGCGAGGAGGACAACGATGAGGAGGATGATGATGAAGAAGCCGCCGGGAGCAGGTGGGGCAAAAGCAAAGTGCAGGAGCGAGGGAAGAAGCGGAAGAACAGCAACAGAAACAAGCACAAAAACAAGAAAAAGAGCAAGGGGAAGAGCAAGAGCGGCAGCAGGCATGGAAAGCAGAAGCAGAAGAAGAGCAAGAAGCAGCAGCAATCAGACTCCCCAACAGCCAAGCTTCTGCGAGTGCGGCAGGCGCTCTGGCGGGTGGCAGCCAAGGCAGTAGAAGCAATCGCCAGGGAGCACGCCAAGGCAGAGAAGCAGTTCGTGCACGTGGGAGCCATGCCTCAGTACTTGGCTCGGCAGGAGATCAGGAGGGAGAGCGAGGCAGACGAGGTGAATGGCGGAGTGGAGGTGCTGGCAGGGAAATACAAAGACCCGAGTTTTGGCGTGTCCGTGTGGCGTGGGGGGATTGTGGAGCCGAATCTCATGGCGGTGTTTGCTGCTGTGTGGTACTACCTCAAGCACCATTCAGGTGAGACTCGCATGGGAGTGTTGGTTGAATGAGGGGAGGAGGGGATGGGGGGGGGACGAGGGTTGAGAGAGGCAAGCAACGGGGTGTGTCTGTAGTTAGGAGTAGCAGCAGGGGGTTGGAGGGAGAGAGCGAGGCGGACGAGGTGAATGGTGGGCTGGAGGTGCTGGCAGGGAAGTACAAGGACCCGAGTTTTGCCGTGTCCGTGTGGAGAGGTGGGATCGTGGAGCCGAACCTGATGGCGGTTTTTTCTGCTGTGTGGTACTATCTCATGCACCAGTCAGGTGAGAGCTGCTGGGTAAGCTTCGAACGATGAGTTTGAATCTGAGAGTCTATCTTTCTGGCATTCCTGTGTGGAGCCGAGCCGAGCCGAACCTGTCGGCTGTGTTCGCTGCTGTTTGGACTACATGGAGCGATGATTGGGTGTTAGGGTTTTTTTTTTGAATTATTGTGTTCCTGATAGTACATTCAAGGGAGTGTCCAAACGTGTTGGCTGTGTTCGCTGCACTGTGGTACTACCTCAAGCACCTTCCAGGTGAGTGAGATTTATTGCTTTCTGCCCTCTGTTACTCAGTTAACATCCAAGGGAGTGTCTGAATGTGATAGCCTAATCCTACATCCTCCCCTTCCCCTGTATTCTCTCGCCCTCTCTCCTCCAGAGCCCCCGGCCGACATGGCCAGTTCGGTGCTGTACCTGGGGTGGGCTGTGAGCAACAGTGGGTGTCGGGACGCACATGTTGATGGATAGCCTAGTCACGTTTCAACTCCTTCCCCTATACGTTCTCTCGCCCTCTCTCCTCCAGAGCCCCCGGCCGACATGGCCAGTTCAGTGCTTTACCTGGGGTGGGCCGTGAGCAACAGTGGCTGTCGGGACCCACATGTTGATAGCCAAATCATGCATTCACCCCTTACTCTTTCTCTGCTCTCTCCCCTCCCTCCGTCAGAGCCCCCATCGGACATGGCCAAGTCAGTGCTGTATCTGGGCTGGGGAGTGAGCAACAGCGGCTGTAGGGACGTGGCCTCTCCCTTCTCCAACGTGCTGCCCGCCCTGCAAGCAGCGGCTGACACCGTTCGTCTGCTAGCGCAGGCGCGGCTGCAGCAGATGCCGACCAGCATAGAAGAGGACGAAGCGATCCTGAGGGAGCTGGAGCGGTGCAAGAGCGGCGGGAAGATGGGGGCGGGTGGTGGGGAGGGGGTGAAGGGTGGGAAACTGGGGAAGGAAGGAAAGAAGAAGCCAGCACAGAGCAAGCAGCAGCAGAAGGCGAAGCTGACGAGCCTGGAGGAGGAAGTTTCCGCAAAGCGACTCAGCCGGCGCCGGCGCCGGCGTGCTGTTAGCGAGGGGAGGATCAGCGATGACTACAGCGATGATGACAACAACGAGGGTGACAACACCGAGGAGGAAACGGACCTAGAGCTCGGGAGCAGGAGCGATGAAGAGGAGGCGATAGATTGTGATGCGTGGGCGCGAGAGCGGGCCAGTGGGGAGAGCGAGGAGGAAGGCGGCGGGTCGGAGAGCGGGAATGGCAGCGGCGGTAGTAGTGGGGGTGCGAAGAGGCTTACTGTGATGCGGGTGCGGTGTGGGTGTGAGGAGTTTAGGGCGGAGGCGGATGAGCGGATGGTGGCGGTGCGGTTCCGGAAGGCCAAGAAGGCGGTGCTGAAAGAAGTGGTGGACCGGCTCAGAAAGGCGTGCCCTTCCTCCCCCACTGCTTTCCTCTGAAATGACGTTTGAGCCGACTCAAAAGTCACTTCGTTTTGAGTCGACTCGGAAGGCTACGGTAAGAAGGTGGTGATGAAAGAGGTGGTGGAGTGGCTAAAAAAGGCATGCCCTGCCTCCACCACTGCTTTTCTCTGAAAATCCAAGTCCATGGCCTCTTGTGATTCCACACCTGATTTCCCTGTGGTAATCCCTTCCTGAATTCCTTGTAGTACACCGCACCCTGTCATGGGGGTTCGTTGGTAGCTGTCCACCTGTGGTCTTTGTTTTGCGCAGAGACTGTGCCAGCCAGCTGGTAGGCATGGGGGGGAGGAGCATCGGAGTGCACTGTGCGGCGAGCTGGCAGAGCCACTGTTTGTTGTCGCTGCCTTGTTTCACCTGTCTCTGATGCAGCTCACCGTGCTTGGTCGTCTGGCCGCATTGCTACCACTAGATAGTGATAACCCAATTTAGCGCTGCTTTCTACATAGAACTTTCAATAAGTGTTTGCAACAATCACCACACCAATACTTGTGTTTTGACAGCTGGAGCTGCCCACATCCCGCTTTGGATACCACCAGAAACACCTGGAAACATAAAAATATGATAATTAGCAGGAGACATACCAGTAACACAATCTCATGTTCCTTGTACTTCGACGCATCATCCCCACCAACCGATTTGCACACCACGCCTTCATCTTCCCGCTTTATGAGACAGCCCACAATGCTTGAGCTGAGCATGGCTGCTTTTTCACCTCCCGAAATTAGGGTTTAGTCAATGGCATCAGCTCGCGTGACCTGCTCCACCAACTCCCTCACAATCAGCCGCTTCGGCGGGAACGATAACCTCTGCTGCAGCTCAGGCATCCGCCACTGGCGCTGCGAATGCGGCAGCCCGACGCGCCGACGCGCCGCACTCGCAGGCCGACGCGCCGCACTGACAGCGGAAGTTGTCACTGAAGGGTGCGGTTGGCGCCTGAGTTAGTAATGCTGCCGTAGTCGATGCTCAACTCTTCGCCTGGCGCGATGTCCCGCAAAGCCACCACCGTCACCAAGTCTTCTTCCATTCCGCAGTTTGGGTCGCTCGAGTGGTTAATGAGTTCGGGCGTCTCGGGCCCACGCGTCGGATCTGGTTTCTGCTCGTTTAACGACTCGGAGTCGTTTATTTGCAGCGAGAGCTGTCGCGTGCGCTCTTCGCCGGCAACCTTGCCGGCGAAAACGAGAACCCGTTCCCCGCGTCCAATGCTCGCCAAAGCAAACAGCCCCTTGGAGCCGTCCGCGTCGCCCTTGTAGCGCGGAACCACGCGCGGATCGTACCACCCCGACTCGGCCATCTTCCGCTCGATATAGGCCGAGCAGTGGCCGGCGTTTCGCTGCTGCCAGTCGCGCGAGCGCCACTCGGAAAATTTGAGCGTGCCGCGGCAGCACGTGGCGCCGCAGCGGCAGAGAAAACCGGCGTGCATGCTGCCCTCCGTTTCCGTGGATGCATAGTCGTACGTGATTTGCTCGCCGGGTTGAATGTCTCGCAGGGCGACCATGCAACGTGGGTTAATGTACCACGAGTTGGGGTCGCACGAGTGGTTGTAATAGAGGCTTGGGTCCTCGTCGGGGTCGGTTGTTGTGTCGTACACGTCGTCCTCGACCATGTACGAATATCGAATCATGATCTCGCGCTTCTCCTTATCGGGTACCGCCAATAAGTCATGAGCGTGGTAGTACACTCGCCGCTCTTCTTCCTCAATGTCCCAATCGCAAACGATCTCGCCTTTTGCGATTAAGCTGCTCGCGAAGAGCCCCCGGCATTGGAAACCGTAGAGCTCGTGCTCTTGCACGACCATGTGCGGGTGGAGACCCATGATGCAGGATCAGGAACGAGTGGGGTGGTACAACTAGACGTGCAGTCTGATAATTGGGAACGCTCTGAAGTTGAATATACTTACTGAGAAATGTAATGTACGTGTACTGTATTATATCGCTGCTAGATCATCTCGACGATCAATATGATGTTGAGGTGAAGGAATCTCGAGGATCTCAACAAGTGTCGAAGGCAGGCATCTCGAGGTGATGGAAACAGGAATTTCCCAAGGGAAGAGATCATCGAGAAGCCGAACATCAGCAGAGAAGTGGCCGAATTAGGGCCGCGTGAGTCGCACCCCTAGTACTTAGGTCCGAACCTGCGTACGAGCCTTCTTTTTTTCGAGCCATAACAAATATAAACCCCTATTGGATGGCATGATTTTAGGGAGAAATCAACCCTCAACACTCTGCGACAAGGTGTTTAGGGTTGACTTGTTTCTAAACAAAATTCTGTCCGCTTGTTGGGTGTTTAGGCTCGAAAGTTGTTCAGGCTAGTTGCGGCGCTGGTTCGGCACTGCTTCGAGGGGGTGCGACTCACACGGCCCTAATTCGGCCATCTCTCTGCTATTACTCGGCCCTAATTTGGTCATTTCCGATTTCCCAACCACTCGCGGGTTCTGTGGCGGTGGAGAAGTGTGAGACGGCAACTACATGGGAGTTTTACGCCAAGGCGTTACATTGGTAAGAGACGTTAGGGGAACAGAAACACGGTGTTCTTCTGCCTCAGAAGCACGGCGGCACTAACTACTGTTACTGTAATGATCTATCACTGGCTGCAGGATCCCGCAAATGACAGTAATCCACCTGTCACATACTGGTGGAGAACCACATCTATCTTCTGGACAGCTGTCACCTCAGTACTCAGGGCGTCCCCTCCCCACCCCGCGTTTGCCCGCCATAGATGGAAATTCGGACACATAAGAAGTAATCTTTTGTTTCTTGTATATATATGGATATGCCCCAAATTTGATGTACTGGATTTTCTGGACGAAACTATTTCTTTTTGAAGGAGATGCTTCGGATACATCATTCAAACCCTAACTTCCAGAAATGCTTTGGCAGAGTATGCAGACAGTTGTCATTTCAGTCGCGTGCCATTTAATTCAGCAAACAAATTGAAATCCTTGAGCAAAAAAACAACAGTCGGGGTAGCTTTAGAAGGAAAAGTAGGCGGGCAACAGCTGGTGTCCAAACTTCAGATGGCGGGAAAATGTAGGGACGCCATCTCACATGTGACTGTGATGAAAACACTGTGCTGTACCAAGTGTACCCCGTTGCCCTGTCAACTGTATATTCCAGGGGGGCAACTTCAAGCCGGGTTTTCGATCGAACCTGGACAGGGTCAGCAGCAGCTTGGAGCGAGCCGCTGGTGTTAGCAAGCGGACTCAGTCACATTCGAGGAAACTACGACAAACAACGGAACGGACTGTCATAAAAATTTTCAGGGAACACGGGCAGCCACTGGTGCAAGCAGTCTCAGGTCCCATTTGAGTGTGTTGGACGAACAAGGGGTCTGAGATATTTCGACCTCCGTAAGGACGTGGACCGGATCGAGGCGATCTGAGGCTGATTAGAGGCGACCCACATTCTCAACCGTGGGATGAGAGAAGATGGATGGTTGGGAATGTGGGTCGGTTCTGGTCATTGCGATCAGCCTCCGATCGCCTCGATCCGTTCCACGTCGTAAGCACCCCGCTTCTGGCACTCGAGTTTTGATTAAGACAACGTACAGCAAGTTCATACTGACCGTTAGTGAACACGCCCTTAAATTCACCACACCGCGATATGGTCCTAAGATTTTGTAACCGCTTATCTCACACATGCGAGGTGTGGTGTGGAGAGGTTGAGCACACCTGTAATATCTTTTCTGCCAATAGTAATTTGCGGGATCCATGTGGTCGATGTTACAGTTCTGTAGACCACGGATGCCAACGTGTACACACTGGAAACTGTAGGGTACACCTTCGATTTGTATTCCGTGCAGGCGAACAACGTGCGGATCATTTTCATCCTGGCTCTCAATGGTCTACACCTAGTCCGCGGTATTTTAACCGCCGCTATCTTAACCGCGCGAGAGTACTTCTCTTTGGTCAGACTTGTTTAAACGAGTAGTTCGAAAATTAATGAGGGTATAATCTAACATTCCCTTCGCGAGATCCGGCAGTTAAAACACTGCCAATGCCGATATTCCCCCTATTTCGGAGCACTAAGTGTGCGTTTCTTCAGACGGAAAAGCATCCGGCTGTAAACTAATAGCCTTGAAATCTTTGGGTGCCCATCTCATTACCCGAAAACGAATAAAGGGTGTTTGAAACAAAACAGTTCACGTGGTTAAAATACCGCGGACTAGGTGTAAGTCAGGAAAGTTGAAACCGCCCCCAAGCGTGATCAACCACGTATGATCCAGACATTCCACAATGCTCTCCGCCTCACGGCAGCCATGGATTCTACCGAGACCCTGGAACTCGCCAATGTACCACCTATTGTACGACATTCCCGCTAATAACATAACCATTGAGATCGTCTTCTCTCAGGGTACCAGAGGATATTTTTTAAATGTTCAAACAGAGAACATTCGTCCCTATCCCCTGAAGACGAGCAGAAGTCATGGTTTCGGGATTTCCGTGCGAGGTTATTTCAACATGGCATTTCCAAGGTTCCAAGCTACTTTCAAGGCTTCCATCAGGCATCAGCATGCAGGCATTGCTACAACTACAAAGGACGTCCAGTTCGTGCTCAGTTTTTATTATTCTCAGGTACTGCACTGGCTCTGGTGGCTGTTCTATCATCATTGCACAATGGCTCCTCGAGTTAAGAAGGCTGCTGCTGCTGCTGTCACCGCGGCTACCGCTGCTGCTGCGGCTGCTGCCTCGTCCACTGCTGGGGTTCCGCTGGTTTCTGCTACCTCTTCTGCTCCGCCGGCGACGACTCCAGCCAAGCCGAAGTCCATGTCGAGACTTCCTCTTAAGTCCGCTACCGCCATGAAGGCGTCCAAGGGACCCTTTCAGCCTGATGAATCTGAAGCTCTTACCCTCTCGGCGAAGCTCGCAGCCATCCGCATTGAGGAAGCTGCGAATGATAGCAAGAAGGGTAAGGAGGAAGTCATTTTCAAAGATGCTGTTTCTGACGCTGCACCAGAAGGAGAAGATGTTTCTCATGACGACGATGAGGACAATGTTTCACGCGACAATGCTGACGATGGCTCGGGACCATCGGGGGTTACCCACCTGCTTAACGATGAGGACGACGGGCTTATTGCCTATGATTCTGACGAAGAGGTCGAGGAAGCGTCAAAGGGAGAGATCGCGTCACGTTCCTGCTACCCGATCACCCTTCTGATCCCTGAAGAGTTTTTGTTGGAAGTACCTCGCACACAGGCAACGATCAAGGGATTGGTGGGGATTTGGAAGGATGAGCTGTCTGATGGGGCCCAGGTCACCACGACGTACCAGCAGCTGACGTCCGGTTTCCTGTACAAGAAGTATTACGGTCGCATGCAAGTTACTTTTGACAAGGCATCTGACGCAAATTTTGTGTGGCGTAATCAGGTCGAACATAAGTGCAAGAATGGGATTTACGTTACCTTTGACTGGCAGTATCCGGAAGATCCCGCTTTCGCCAGGCAGAAGGCGACGAACCCTGCAGTGATTGAGCTCTATTTCAAGGAGGTCCCTGCTGAGATCTCACCTGCAATGCTGCATGGGATGCTGATGGCTCCGCTCAAGAAGAAGAAGAAGTCGGTGTTTAAGAAAGGTCTTTGCTTTCATCGTGCGGTCAACTCGGTGACTGGCTTGGATACGGATCGGATCAAGGGACTGGTGGTTGCTCACGAGGGTGATCTGTACCGGTGGAAGCACTACATTGAAAGTCCGCTCAACAAGGACGAGATTCTGCTGATCCACTACCCGGCGTTGAAGTGCAGTCTGTGCGGTGGTCATCACTCGATCCACAACCACAACGACTTCGTCGTCGAGCGTCACAACAACATCACCAAATGGCACCTTACCATTGGGAGGGTCCATGAGCTGAATGGTAGCTGCGTTGTTTGCGTTGTCGCTGATGGAATTTCGCGCGTTTCACTGTCGTTTTCCACTTGCCTTTCTTCCCGAGTTCTCACATCGTTGCTGCGCAGCTGCTGCGACCATTGCATCAGATGCGACCAAGATTATCCTCAAGGACCCGTCCCTGGTACTTATCTCCACCAGTGGAAATCGGGAGGAGTGGGTTTGTCTTCAGGACAGTTGCGAGAAGGCTCATGGTTCGTCGTTCGAACAGGCAGCGCATCACGCGTTGTCCCAGCGGCACCGCCATGGGGCCCCGAAAGGTGGAGAGTCACTCCGGTTGTTGAAGGGGAAGATCAACCTCAAGCACCTGAAGAAGGATTATGGGTTGTAGAAGGAGGAAGGAGAGGCGAAAGCTGCATGTTAGTATCCCCTGTGTTTGTACTGTTCCTTTATAAAACTGTGGTTCGTGTCTCGCTCAGCCCGTGGATGCTTGGGGCTTCTCGGCGGTTTCCCAATGAATAAAGCTTCTTACCTGTCGATACGCGAGCTCAATGTCAACGGGCTCGGGAGCAGAGGGAAGCAGAAGCATCTGAAGGCATGGCTAAAGAAACCACCTGATATCTTCGTTTTGGCTGACACACGGATTGGTGCTGACCACGATTTCTGGAAGAAGCTCAAAGTCCCCCATTGTCATGCGATCGGTCCTGCGGGGAAGGCAGGAGGGGTTGCCATCTTAAGTTTCAACAAGTCTCTTGTTTTCACTAACATTGTCACTCACAGCTCGGGTCGTTTGCTTCAGGCTGATGTTCAGTGGGACTCTTTCCACTGCACGATCCTGGCTGCTTACTTTCCTGCGAAAGCTTGCAGGCGTCGCCCGTTTTACGATGGGGTGCTTGCTCCTTTTATGGCGCACTCTGTGGGGAGGAGGTTTTCTTTTGATCGGAGATCTTAACATGGTGGAGGAACCTCTACTGGATAGATCGTCTGGTGCGGGCTCGTCAGGAGAGAATGGCAGCGTGTTGCGGATATGCTCAGCGCACTGCCTCACCGACGCTTTTCGCTGGATGAACCCGGTGCTGAAGGAGTTTACCTTTCTGTCTAGGTCTGCCAAGACCAGCTCACGCATTGACCGGGCCCTTGTCTCGGCGCCGCTGTTGACGTCGCTCTCTGAGGCGTCGCACTGTCGGCCGCTGAAGGGTCTCTCAGACCACTGGTTCGGGGTGAAGGTGACCTTCAAAATCAGCCTGCAGTTATGCATGGGGCCTGGAATATGGAGGTGCAAGGCGGCAAAAATTGGAAGGCCGGGTGCGGTGAAAGCGGTTGCTGCGATCTGCGAGGAGCACGGTAAAGCGGGGTCAGGCGATTTCACTGCGCTCATGAGGAAAATGAATATGGCATTAAGGAAGTACTCTGCTGAGGAACGGAAGCGGGTCAAAGCTACCCTGACTCACCTGGATGAGGCGGTTGCGGTTTTGCAGCAGGAGGTGATGAGAAACCCCTACTGCTCCGCCCGGAAGGAGGAGCTGAAGGTCAAGGAGTCCAAGCTGGCGGCATACCTCGCCTCGGAACAGGAGAGGGTCACGCTCATGGCCGGGGTCAAGGAGCTGCGTGAAGGGGAGTTGCCTGGCAAGCTCATGTCTGCAAAGGTCAAAACACGGAAGGAGAGGACAATGATTACATCGCTGCAATGGAAGGGGACAGTGCGGAATGACTCGTGCGGGATACTAGAAGCTGCCTCCGAGTTCTACGCGGAGCTGTTCTCGGAACCTACCCCGACAGCGGACAGCACGTTTTGGCCGGTCGCTCCTGGCAAGAAGCTGGGTGAGGCGCAATCGCAGCTGTTGGTAGCGGACTGGTCTGAAGCGGAGGTGAAGGAGGCCGCAGCAACAACAGCAACAGAAGGAGCAGCAGCATTTCTCACTTCCACCAACCGAAGAAGAGATTAGCAGTAGAAGCAGTGACAGGGGCAATGTAGGGGGCAGCATACACAACACTAGCGCGCACGAAACTAGCAGTATTCAGGGGACCCTTGGGAATGCCGATAGGACCCTTGAAAATGCCGACGATCGCTCTGCCCGAAGCCGGCACTGGTTGCGCAACATCGTTTTCCCCGCCGTTTTCCTCCCCATTGCGGCGGTTTGGCGCGCCATTCTGCAGGCGATGGCGCTATTCTTCTCCGCCGCGGGATGGTTCCGTCAACGGCTCGTAGGCCCGCGCACGGCGGAAGCTGGTGTGCGCGGAGGTTCCGTCTCCGCAAGCGCTGAAGCGTGCGCGGACAGGGCAGCGCGGGCTCGGCGCAAGATGATGGGGATGCGGAAGCTTACGCGGGCGGAGCGGGAAGCGACGGAGGCGGAGGAGCGGAAACAGCGCGAGGAGATCGCGCAAATGGTGGAAGCGCAGCGGAAGGCGCGGGAGCAGGCGGAAGGGGCGAGTAATACGAATAACTGGGAGGTTATCGGGAAAAAGCCCGCGAATGTTGGAAAAGCGGTCGAGGTACCAACAATAACGAGACGGGCTGTAACGAATAGAGATAACTGCCCGTACAAAGGAAGCCGGTCCCACAGCGTAGTGAGCGCAAAATCGCTTACCGGGCAGACGAAAAGTTTAGGGCAGCCCATTAGCAGCGCGCGCAAAACGGATTCGAGCAGCGCGCGCACGGCGGATTCGAACAGCGCGCGCATGACGGAAAGAGCGCCCGTGGGATCTGCGCAAGCGGGCGTGTTGGGGAAGGGGCAGGTGCGGAGTGGGTTGCCCGCGAGTTTTAATAATAAGGGTTTTGAGGCGCCTGAAAAGTCGGCCGCGGCTTTAGAGAATAAAGGCGGCAGCAGCGTGTGGAATAAGGGGAGCACTAGCGGATCCACTACCGGCGGCGACAGCAGCAGCAGCGTCGGCGGCGGCGGCGGTGGCGGCGCGCGGAATAAGGGAACCATTTTGTGCCCAGCGCCCCCGCCGCGCTCTTCTAACGAGTACACTACTTCCCCGATACAAGCCTCTCCGCCCACTCGAGATAATCGCACGTTCTCCCAGGTGGCAAAGAGCAGCAGCAGGAGAAGCAGCGGGGAGCAAGACAAGCAGGGTAGTGTGAAGACGGGAGGGAAAGAAGTTGGACCTTCCATTGTCAGGTTAGGTGATTGGACAGGGAAGGAATGGCCGCAGTGGGATTCTGGTATTGGCACTTGTAGCAGCGGCAGCAGCAGCAGCAGCGGCAGCAGCTTCAGTGGCGGCAGGAGCAGCTTCGGCAGTGTCAGTGGTAGGAGCAGTAGCAGCAGCAGCAGCAGCAGCGGGGACAGTAGTGGCAGTGGTGCTAGGTTTCTCGAGGCTACAGCCGTCTGTGCTACAGCCGTCTGTGCTACAGCCGTCTGTGCTACAGCCGTCTCTGAACCCTCCACAGGGGCGGGTGAGTCTGAGGTGACAGGGACGGCATGCCTGTGGTCGTACCCTGCCATTGCTCCCTTGCTTCATCCCGCTCCTGCTGCTGCTGCTGTCGCTGCAACGGCAGTGTCGCCAGCACCATCAGCCTGCGACTCCTTGCCGTTCGTCTCCTCCTCTTCCTTCCCATCCTCCTCCTTCACCACTCCTATCAAGCAGCAACCGCAGCAGCAGCAGCAGCAGCAGCAGCAGGGGAGGAACGAGGGAGTAGCGTGTGGGAGGGAGTGGGAGATGTGGGGTTCCACACAGCGGCTCACAGACGCTTTCGGCTTCACACCTCCTACCTTCTCTGCATCCTCTTCCGCTGCTCTTCCCTCCTCCCCCCCTCTTCCTGCCTCCGCTCTTTCCTCAACCCCTGTTCCCGCCTCCACCATTGCTTCTCTCACCACCACCACAACCACCCCCAACTCCTACCTCACCAATCCCTTCGCCCTCCCCTTCTCCTCGCCCTTCTCACTGGGGTTTTCACCCACTCTCGTGCCCGCCACACCCGTCGACCCAGCACCACTGACAAATAGCCCACTCAGTCTTAGCACCCCTGCTGCTGCTCTGCCCGGTACTGCTGTCGGCTCGGTAGAGAGGAGCAGCTTCACCGGATCAAAGAACACTTTTCATGCAGACAGGCATGCTTTCCCTGGGTCCTGGAGTGCAGGGGGGGTGGCTTCTGAGTCGAGTCAGCAGTCACCTCGTTTTCCTGGGTCGTGGAGTGCTGGGGGGCAAGATTTGACTGGGTTCGGCGATGCGCTAAAGAGTAACGCGTTTAGAGCAGCGATTCGCGGCGGTGGCAGTGGAGTGGGCGGCGGGGCGGGCGGCGGAGGGATGCGGGCGGCGTGGATGACGGAGATGTGGGACGAGGACGTGCCGCCCGCTTTTGTGGATTGCATCACGCAGGAGATCATGCGCGACCCGGTGATCACAGCCGACGGGCACTCTTACGAACGTGCTGCGATTGAAAAGTGGCTCATGTGAGTGTGGGGGTGTGTGGCGTGCATCTGGGGGTGTATGGGAGGCTTGTGTAAGCTGGGAGGGAGGAGGGAGGGAGGGGGGGGCAGCACGCACAGCAGGAGATCATGCGCGATCCAGTGATCACAGCCGACGGGCACTCTTACGAACGTGCTGCCATCGAGAAATGGCTCATGTGAGTGTGGGTGTGTGGCCTTGCCCTGGGTGTGCATCTGGGGGTGTATGGGAGGCTTGTGTGTGCTGGGAGGGAGGGCAGCACGCATTGGAAGAGGGGAGATCATGCGCGATCCGGTGATCACTGCTGACGGGCACTCTTACGAACGGGCTGCCATCGAGAAATGGATCATGCGAGTGTTTGGGGGAAAGACAGGGGAGGGAGGATGAGGGCGTGGGTGTGGCTGTGGTTGTGGCTGTGGCTGTGAGGGAAAGAGACAGAGGTCTAAAACACAAATCTTGTCTTTCAATCCCGTCCCCACCTGCAGGCACCACAACACGAGCCCCATGATGGGCAAAGTTCTGCCTCCCTTACATGCGCCACAGCTGCTGCTACAGCTGCCACAGCTGTCTGACCCTCCCTGGCCTTGAACTCAAGTCATGTGTTTCGTTTCCACCCACCTGCAGGCACCATGACACGAGCCCCATGACAGGCAAAGTTCTGCCTCCCTTACATGCTACAGCTGCCACAGCTGCTAAGTCTGCTGCTTCACCTACGGCTCTTGCTACAGCTGCAGCTGCTGACCCCTTTCAGGGGGACTGTTTTACCTCATGCCTTGCCGGCTGCAGCTGCAAGCACAGGGGCCAGTGCATGGGCCAAGGTCGGTGCAGTGCGGTTGGGAACGGTGGTGAGGGGTGCAGTGAGCATTGCGTGGTGGACAAGACGCTGCGACCGAACCACATCCTGCGTGGGCAGATCATCGAGTTTCAAGAATTGATGGCGCTGCTGTGAGTTTCCTGCTTGACTGACTGACTGACTGTGCTGCAGTGTTCTGCAATGGGGTTTGCTGTGTGGTTGACTCGACTGCTCTTTAACATCCTGTGCGGGCAGATCATCGAAATTCCAAGAATTGAGGGCGCTGCAGCGAGTTGCCTGTTGCCTGTTTGGCTGGCTGTGTCAAAGAGTGACACAGCCAGCCAACTCACTGTTTGGCTGTGCTGCAGTGTTTCGCAATGTGGTATGCTGTGTGCTTTATTGCTCTTTAACATCATGCGGGCAGATAATCGAGTTTCGAGAGATGATGGCGCTGCAGTGAGTTGGCTGGCTGTGTCACTCTTTGACTGTGCTGTGCTGTGCTGTGCTGTGCTGTGTGCTTGGCTGTTCTAGGGTTTGGGTTTAAGCGGATTAGGTTTGCGAGCAGATGATTGAGTTCCAGGAGATGATGGCGCTGCAGTGAGTTGGTTCGAATATATTCATGCCTTGCCGTGGCGTGCTGCTGTACCGTGCCGTGCCGTGCCGTGCCGTGCCTTGCCGTGGCGTGCTGCTGTGCCGTGCTTTATTTTGATGCGTGTGACTGATTCTTTTGCCCCTCTCTGCTCATCCCTGCGTGACTCTGTGGCTGGCAGGGCAAGGGAGCGCACAGCAGCAGCACCCCCCACACGCGCTGCAGCTGCATTTACCACCTAGGGCTGCATTTACCACCTAGGGCTGCATTTACCACCTAGGGCTGCATTGCAGAGGCTGCTGCTTGCAACAGCAACGAGAGGATGCAGCTAAGGGAGTGGAGAGTAGCAGCACCCCCCACACGCGCTGCAGCTGCATTTACTGGTACCACCTAGGGCTGCATGCATTGCACCTGTTGCTGCAGCATACATAAGACTGAATCACTCTTCAGAATTCCCATAAGACCACTGTACCATCCTGAAGTTGAGACACCAAGGGCTGCCCTGATAATCGATGGAGTAAGACCCCTATTTGTGTGTACGAGATAAGACATATGTGTCGTATAATCGAAACTGCAATATATTATAGTGAAACTTGAAATACCGCATACATTTTTACCCTTGCGATGCGAGAATTCTTCCACGTGTTGGAAACAACTGATTTAAGCACCTCTGTCGTGTCGAAACACCAAGACAGAAGCGAAACAGATCGTATCGAAACATCGGTGAGTCAACCCTCGGAGGTTGAATAACCGTTGAAGGTTACGCGAAAGTCAAAGGTCAGCGACCTTTGACCTGACAAATGCAGCGCGACAGCAAGGACAAACAACTGTCTCGATACTGAGCAGTTGCCCGAGTCGACACTGTATCGAACTGCAACAGCAACAGTAAAACAGTTATTAATCGTATCCTTTCATATTCCCTGTATTCTTATAAAAGACATGTATCTCTTTGTTATTATCAACTTACTTTGCCCTCACATACAAGCGCAAGGTAGTTCACAATCTTTTATTAAAACGCTTCCGCTACCACATCATCCTACCCTTGAATTCTGTCCTGCAAAGATCCTAAGGGCATTTTTCAGCCCAACATGGTATGAGAGCGGTCAGGGCAAATTCAACTACAAACGAGATATCTACAACATCGGAAGACATGGCAACACAGAAGGAGAGAAGCTCCTCTAACGGCTCTCCCGGCAATACTCCTACTCCACCTCCTGCCTCTGGTCTACAGACAGAGGAGGGTACGGCAACAAGACCAAGGGCTTCGTCTTCGGAAACTCCAGCAAATCAAACTGCGGCCTTCGATCCAGACATGATGGAGAAATTCTTCTCCTTCATGTCCTTCTACGAACAGCACCGGCAAGGGTCACCTGCACAGTCAAACAACAGCAACAACAACGCAACACCAATGAGCCTAGATGGTTCATCGTACGCACGCGGAAATCAACAGCAACGGCCTACCTTTGCTCCGTACAAGCCCCAGCGTGGCTCCGTCAGTTTTGTGCCACAACCGCAGCCTGCATCCGGACAAGAAAAGACATTGGATGCACTTCAAGTTCAATCACAGTTCCCGCACGTCTTAAAACTGCAGACGACAAGGCCTTTCGACGGAAAGGACTTATTTACCTGGTCATTCGAGTTTGAGTTAATGATGGAAGGCGCACAGATTCTTGGCTTCTTCGACGGATCCCTGCCATATCCAACACACGTCACACAGTACGACAAGCAGCAATACACGTATCAGTTAATGATGGCGTACACAATACTGCTGAGAAATATCACTCCAAGTCAGCAGCAGAACATACGGTCTTACCGGGGTTACGGCAACTCTGCAGAGCTCGCGTACAACCACCTGAAGAACCTATATCAAGCAACAGACAGTGTAAACCAAAGTCGGTTAATGGCGCAACTAACAACAGTCGAAATGAAACCAGGCGAAAAAGGGATGGCGTATATCAGCCGCTGTCGCGAATTGCGCGACAAACTTCTTCGATGCGGAGGGTCGATTTCAGAAGACGCCTTCGTCACAGTCATCATCGGCGGCCTCGGTGCTCAGTGGCGCTCCACCCGCGCCATACTCCGGGCGCATGGAAAGATATCAGAAGCAGCACTCTGCGCCGAGATCCACGCTGAACAGCAAGATATGGACCTGCAAGAAGAACGACACAACAAGAAAGCATCAGTACCCGAATTCGCATTCCAACAACTATCAGCATCAACCGAAACTAGTACCTCCATTCTGTCACCTCTGTAAGACATCAGGACATCCTCGCACACACTGTCCTAACCGACAACATTCAGAACCGACGCAGCGGCAGCTTCGGCCTTCAAGCAGTCAAGTTGCCTCAACGCAAGCAAATCCGACATCTCAAGTACAAGTCTCAACAACATCGACGGGACAACCTGCGCAAGAAACAAGAAACATCGTCAGTTGTATGACACGGTTAACCGATTCCTGCATCACAGAATCACTACCATCTTACTCACCGGAAGAGCATCTTGACAACAGCACGTCTCGCCGCGAGTCGCTTCAACCAAATCCGACCTATGCAGCCATCGCTCAAAACGAGCCATCCGGGAAGGATACGTGGTTCTTGGACAGTTGCTGTGGACAGCATATGTGCTCCTCAGGACGTTTTGTTCAACGTGAACACCAACTTCAACGCGAAGTTGTCATCACCGTCGCCAACAACCAGAACCTGCGCACACGACGACAAGGCGTAGTACAACTTCAGTCACGAGAAACAAATGTCATACTGCAGATGTCAAAGGTTTTGATAGCAGAAGGACTCGGCTACAACTTACTGAGTGTCAGTCAGCTGATGGCGAAGGGCATACACCTCGAGGCCGACAGCACCACCCAGGAGTTTAAGTTATACCACGGCAAAGGTGGTCTCTACATCGGAAAGGCAGTCTTGAAAAACAATGTATTCGTCCTCGACTTTGTCCCAGATCTTGGCACTGCCGACAGCGACGGGATTGTCACCTTCACCTCTTGGACACATCCACCGGATCTTGACCCCGACTTCAGTCCAGAAGGCTTCTGGTACTCGCACACCATCCCTGAGGCAGAACGCACAAGAGCATTAGCAACAATTCAACACTCGGCAGCAGCAGAAACAACATCGACAGCAGCAGAAACAACATCGGCAGCAACAGAAACAACGGTAGCAGCAGCAGCAACGTTGACACCAATTGCTGGTCCTTCAACTGCATCACCTCAAATCGACGACACTTCACCGACTCCCGCGCAGCAGCTAACTCCCACTCCTCGCGAAGTTCACAGAAGCGCCAATTTCACCGCCGCCTTTTACTCCAACTCCGACCTGTATCGTCGTTCACCCGGACATCGCGCCAGCGAAGACATCTGGCACGCACGAATGGGACACCCAAGCAGCACGGTGTTAAACAATACAATCCGAGCCGGTGTACTCGACAAGGATTCACTACTCCTAACGGACGGAAGTGAACTTCGACGAGCGCAAGGAACGTGTTTTACCTGCTCCGAAGCTGACTTACCACATCGGCCATTTACTTCTCACCACAACCCCAGCGCACCAGCTTACGCACCACTTGAGAAAGTGTACAGCGACATCTTGTACAACCGCGAACCTGGACAAGGAGCATACAGTTATACAATCACGTTCATCGATGCAGCTACTCGTTACGTTTGGCATCTCAATCTTCCGAGCAAGGACATGGCCTTCGAAGCCTTCATTGCCTGGCTCCCAGTAGCAGAACGAGAATCCGGCGAGAAACTGAAAAGCTTTCAGTCAGACGGAGGAGGAGAATACACCTCACAGAGGTTCAAGCAGTTCTTGGCAGAAAAGGGAATCAAGAGGCTCATCTCGCTTCCTTACGCCCATCAACAGCAAGGCGTGGCGGAACGGATGAATCGAACTCTCCAGAACACCATGCGCAAATTACTGCGTGGCATGCGACTGCCCAATCACCAGTGGCCTGAAGCAATGGACCACGCTGTCATGCTGCACAACTTGCTTTCGTCGTCGTCACTGCCGAACAACGCATCACCGCACCTGCTGTGGACAGGAAAACAGGGCAGCACAAAAATGTTAAGAGTTTTCGGCTGCATGGTACAGTACCGACCCCCATCTGCACGAGCTGGCCGATTTTCCCAACGCGCACAGTGGGGATTACACCTGGGCATCGAAAGGAATTACAACGCGTGGAAGATTTTCGACGTCCACTCCAAAGAAACAGTAGCAGCACGTGACGTCCTTTTCTACGAACGACTCACCCTTCCGACATATCTTCCCAACCTGGAAGGAAATCGGGATCCCACAGGTGGCTTCCGTGGTGACCGACACTTCGCCTCGGCAGCAGACGAAGCTGACTGGGACGAGCAGAACGTGGATAACGCCTCGGATGAAGCAGGACCACTCCCCTACTGCTCCGTGCCCATCCCGATGGATGACGAAAATCCTCGCGAAAGCGTCAACGCCGAAACATATTTCGACCTCGCCGACACTGGTTACGTTACACCTACAGAAGTCAACACCAACGAAGCAGAACGCGTAGGGCCCAATTTCACACCTGACCCAGAAGCAGGTGACGAAGCAGCTTATCCCGAGGACACAACACTCCCCCGCTACACACAGAGTGGTCTTCAGATACTTGGTCTCGTCACCGCGGTCCACGGCACCGATACTCCTAAGGAGCCTGCCACAGTTCAGCAGGCTCTGGGGGGGGAGCATAAGGAAAAATGGCGTGAAGCCATAGACAAGGAATTGAAAGCACTACAGGAGCGCAACACCTGGAAGGTTGTTCCTATCGGCGTGGCACGAAACAAAACGATTCTCACCGGGAAGTGGGTCTTCCGAGTGAAGACGAAAGCAGATGGCACCATCGACAAGTTCAAGGCACGCTGGGTCGTACGCGGCTTCGACCAAGAACACGGACGCGATTTCACCGAGACGTTCGCTCCGGTCAGCCGACATACTTCACTACGGATTCTTCTCGCGGTCGCCGCTATGAAAAAGAAGAAATTGTGGCAAATCGACGTCGCCAATGCTTTTCTCTACGCACCTGTCGACGCAGAAATCTACGTCGAACTCCCACATGGTTCTCACGGAGAGTCTAATCAAGTTTGTCAACTGCAAAAATCTCTGTACGGGATCAAACAGGCACCGAGACTGTGGCAGCAGTACTTACACGCTCGACTCACCCGCATTGGATTCCGGCAGCTACCGCACGACCAAGGGATGTACCGGCTTACGAAAGACGACGACTACATTCTACTAATCGTCTACGTTGACGATCTGCTCCACATCGGATCAACCGACAAAGTCACTACCTGGTTCGAAGGGGAGCTACAGAGAGATCTTACGCTCACGGTCTCATCTACCGTCACGCAGTACCTCGGCCTCAATATCCAAGAAGAAGAAGGAGCGATCTATCTCAACGCCGCAAAATATGCCGACACCATCGGCAAACGGTTCGCACTCACGCCAACTACCATCTCTACGCCATACCGCTACACGGCAGGAAATGACAAGACAGAATCCGCTCCACTGAAACCCGCCGGCATACGCAACTACCAGAGAAAACTAGGATGCCTTCTCTTCGCGGCCGTCACCTGCCGTCCAGACCTATCATACTCAGCAAGCCAACTCGCCACCTACCTCAAAAGGCCTGAAGACGAACACATGAAGGAACTCGATCGCGCTCTACACTACCTCGTAAGCACTCCGACGATCGGCCTAATCTACTACAAAAACGCAACTACAACGCCCAAACTAATCGGCTACGTCGACGCCGACCACGCCGGAGATTCTGACAACAGGCGCTCGCGCACAGGCTATATCTACCGTCTCGAGCCTATCGGACCTATTTCGTGGCAGTCGAGCAAACAGGAATTAATCGCCCTCTCCTCAGCTGAAGCTGAATACATCGCACTCTGCTCAGCCACCAAGGAAGGACTGTACCTTCGCGAACTGCTGGAGGAAGCGAAGCTGGCCCAGTTACCCAGCTTCTCCCTATTTTGCGACAACCAATCGGCAATTCGCATCGCCAACAAAAATGGATTCGCGAACAGGACGAAACATATCGCCCTGCGATATTTCTTCGTAAAGGACGAGATCGAGAAGGGAAGACTAGAGCTGTCTTACTGCCCCACATCCGAGATGGCAGCTGATTACTTGACCAAGAAGCTCGGAAAGTCGAAGTTCGAATATTGCATGCTGCTGACTGGACAGAGCCACGTCACCAGCGACGACACTCCAGAAGCGAAGGGGAGTGTTGGAAACAACTGATTTAAGCGCCTCTGTCGTGTCGAAACACCAAGACAGAAGCGAAACAGATCGTATCGAAACATCGGTGAGTCAACCCTCGGAGGTTGAATAACCGTTGAAGGTTACGCGAAAGTCAAAGGTCAGCGACCTTTGACCTGACAAATGCAGCGCGACAGCAAGGACAAACAACTGTCTCGATACTGAGCAGTTGCCCGAGTCGACACTGTATCGAACCGCAACAGCAACAGTAAAACAGTTATTAATCGTATCCTTTCATATTCCCTGTATTCTTATAAAAGACATGTATCTCTTTGTTATTATCAACTTACTTTGCCCTCACATACAAGCGCAAGGTAGTTCACAATCCTTTATTAAAACGCTTCCGCTACCACATCATCCTACCCTTGAATTCTGTCCTGCAAAGATCCTAAGGGCATTTTTCAGCCCAACAGGTACTACCAAATTTGCAAGTATTTTCCATGACGTGGCTGTTGGGCTGAGAAAAGCCCTTAGGATCTTTTGCAGGACTAAATTCTGAGTAGGACTGGTGTAATAGCGGAAGCGTTAAATAAAGACTTGTGAACCACCTTGCGCTGGTATGTGAGGGCAAAGTAGATTGATTAATAACAAAGAGATACAAGCTTTTATAAGAATACAGGGGAATATGTAGGGTTATAACTAATAACCGTTTTACCATTGCTGTTGCGGTTCGGTACAGTGACGACTCGGGCAACTGCTCAATAGTGAGTCAGTTGTTTGTCCTTGCTGTCGCGCTGTTCTTGTCAGGTCAAAGGTCGCTGACCTTGACTTTCGCGTAACCTCCAGCAGTTGTTCAACCTCCGAGGGTTGACTCGCTGATGCTTCGATATGTTCTGCTTCGCTTCTGACTTGGTGTTTCGACACGACAGAGGCGCTTAAATCAATTGTTTCCAACAGTGGCTTCCCGAACAATGGTTGCCGAAGTGACACCTTCGCAACATCCACACTCATTATGAGAAACTCTCTTCAAGATGTGTGAAAAAAAATTGTAGTTAAAAAAGTTTCCATTTATTAGACTTATAAGACACCCAAAACCTCCCCAAATACAAGATAAGACATATATGTCTTGTATCCGGGCAATGACGGTATGATTTGGTAGAAACATAATTGAGGTGTGGTTGAATTCTGGAAACTTGTGTGTGGAGAGAAAAGCTAAATGATAGAAACAAAACCCACATAATTTATGTTAGAAACAGACACCACTTGTGTCTACCTAGGTATGTAGTGTGTTTTTGAGGCGCCTAAAAAATCAACTCAATCCCTATGTCTACCAGGGTATGTAGTGTGTGGTCAAGGGAGACTTTCTACATGATACCGGTTTAAGGGCATGTTCCTATGGCCCCTTATCAGGCACACCTCGTATCAGCTTCGCATTTTTGCCTGGTAAAATTTGCAAAGGTTTTTGGGTTTAGGGAATTTTCATTGTGTTGTGACGCGAGCCTGATAAGAGGCCGTAGGAACATGCCCTAAGCTGTATTGAAGCAGATAGCAATGGTGCAAAGCATCCATAGGTATATTATAATGGGTCATACCATACACCATACACCCTATGCTACCTAGTTATACACACAGCGCCCACTCCTGCTGGTACCAGTAGCTTGGACACCAGGCCTACCGGTAGCTGCACCCTCACCCCCATGATCCGCACCTTCCTCCTCATCGTCCTCCCCTCCCCCACCACCAACAGCACCCCGCTGCCTTCTTCTGTTACTATCACCTTCGCCGTCACTGCCGCCTTTACTGCCACGACCACCGCTGCTGCTGCTGCTGCTCCTGCTCCTGCTGCTGGTGCTACTCCCACTGCTGCTGCTGCTGCCGCCACACTTCCCCAGAAGCCAGTCCATCATGGAATGCCCGTGCTCGCTCGTCATCTCATGGAATGCAAATGCCACATTCAACTCCTCCTCTATCGCCCCCTCCATTGCCTCACTGCCCCCACCCTCTCCGCCCCCACCTTCTCCCCCCCCACTCTCACCGCTTTCCTCCCCTCCACCTGCACCTTCCTCTTCCTCATCCCCCTCTCCTCCTCCTTCTCCTCCTGTTCCTTCCCCTGCCCTGGAGTACTTACTCCCCCGTTCTAGTTCCTCCATCACCCCCTCTTTCTGCAACACAGCAATCCATCCCGACCGCCTGCCATCCCTCACCATCCTCCCATCCTCCCCCACCACTCCTCCCTGCTTCAACGCCTGAAAAATCCTCTCCGAAGCTGCCGGGGTTAGGTTCGGTATCCGGTCCGACAGGAAGCTCGGCCCGAGCCTCTTCTCCAGGCACGGGATCTGCCCAGCCTCGGAGCCTTTCGATCGGAGAATTTCGACCGCCCGTTCGACCGCCTCGGCACGCTGCTCGTCTTTTGGCATGTGGACGAAAAGGGTCGGCGGGAACTGCCGCCCGGAAGGCAGCGGCGAGTCAAACGCCTTTTTGACTCCACTGGAGATGATTATAGCGAGGGCTTGCAGGTCAATGGAGTGTGCTAGTAATGAAATGAAGTAACCGCCAGAAGAGGCACCCAGTGCGAAGAGAGGGAGGGTGCGCAGGTGGTGCTGCTGGCGCCAGGTGGTGAGAACTTGTACCACTGGAGGAATGTCCAGGGAGCGTTCGGGTGGGAAGGAGGTATCCCAACAGGTGGATAGGCTGGGGGGTGGGGGTGTAAGGGCAGCGGGTAGGGGAAGGGAGGTTGAGGGGGGAAGTTGGGTAGAGTGAGTGGCAGTTGGTGCTGCTGGCGCCAGGTGGTGAGAACCTGGACGACCGGGGGAATGTCCAGGGAACGGTCGGGTGGGAAGAACGTATCCCAACAGGTGGACAGGCTGGAAGACGGTGGGGGAGAGGGGAAGGGAAGGGGGGGATGGGGGGAGTGAGCAGCGGCTGCTGGCGCCAGGTGGTGAGAACCTGGACTACTGGGGGAATGTCAAGGGAACGTTCGGGTGGGAATGAGGTATCCCAACAAGTGGAAAGACTGGGGGTTGAGGGGGGGAGGGGAATGGAGAGGGAAGGGGGAAGGGGGGAAAGCGGACGAAAGGGGAGGGACAGAGAGGGTGAGGGGGAAAGGTGGGGAAGAGTGAGCAGCAGTTGCTGGCGCCAGGAGGTGAGAACCTGGACGACTGGGGGAATGTCAACGGAGCGATTGGGTGGAAAGGAGGTATCCCAACAGGTGGAAAGGCTGGTTGAAGGGGGGAAGAGGGGGATTGGGGAAGGGGAAAGGGGGGGAAAAAAGGCGAGAGGAGGGAGGGTGAGGGGGAAGATGGGGGAGAGCTAGCAGCCATTGCTGGCGCCAGATGGTGAGAACCTGGACGAATGGGGGAATGTCAAGGGAACGATTGGGTGGAAAGGAGGTATCCCAACAGGTGGAAAGGCTGGGGGATGAGGGTGGGGGAGGGGGGGAAGGCCGGAAGGGAGGGCGAGGGAGGAAGGTGAGGGAGCGTGAGGGGGGGCTCCTTCCAGGTAGTGCAGGTGAGAACCTGGATCTATGAGGAGCCAAGTGTAATGAGGTTATTTTTGAGACGTCTAAAAAATAACCTCATTACACGAGGGCGAGGGAGGAAGGTGAGGGAGGAAGGTGACTGGTGCCACGCATTGACCATGGCTCCTGTTTGGACCTCGATTACATGGGGGCGAGGGAGGACGGTGAGGGAGGACGGTGAGGGAGCAAGGTGAGGGAGCAAGGTGAGGGAGCAAGGTGAGGGAGCGTGAGGGGCGGTTCCTTCCAGGTAGTGCAGGTGAGAACCTGGGTCTCTGAGGAAATGTCAAGTTTTGAGACGTCTCAAAACTGTGCCGTGCCGAGAACCTAGATCACAGAGGAACTGTCACAAGAGCAGTCCGGTGGAAAGAGGAAGAGAGAGGGTCAAAGCCTGCTTGGAAATTGGTGCGACTTTTGAGAATTCTCAAAAGTCGAGAACCTAGATCACAGAGGAACTGTCACAAGAGCAGTCCGGAGGAAAGGAAAAGAGAGGGTAAAAGCCTGCTTGGAATAGCAATGACAGATACGCGCCTGTTGCACAAGAGCCATGTCTTCTGGCAGGCAGGCCCAGGCAGGACGGGCAGGAGCGGTGTGCCCATGATCATTAATAAAAGGCCGTAGGCTTTAGATATACCTTACAGAACATTCCCCAGCAAATAAAAGAGGATGTGAGGGGGGTGGGCCAGAAGCAATCAACCTACCCAGGACATGAGGGAATGGCGCGCCCACCTGGAAATGGCGATAACAGCTAGGCGTCTCTTCAATGCATGCTGCACGAGAGTCATGTCTTCAGGCAGGCCCAGGCAGGACGGGCAGGAGCAGTGGGTGTGGGGAGGGAATGCCAAGCCTACCTGGAAACAGCAATCACTGCAAGTCTCCTCTTGAGAGCATGCTGCACGAGCGCCATGTCTTCAGGCAGGCCCAGGCAGGACGGGCAGGCACGGTGGGGCGGCCAGAAGTGCGTGGCTCGGTGCGTGCACCCGTGTGCAAAGAACACCACTCCTGCCAATGGCAGGTCGCCACGTGGCACCTGCCACACCACCTCCCTGCCGTGGATGGTTTCATATACTGGCACCAGTGCCGGCGCCCCTCCTTCCTCCTCCCTCTCCTCCTCCCCCCTCCTGCCGCTTACGTGCTTTTGTCGGCGCCTCTCCTTCCCCCTCCTCATCCCCCTCCTCCTCCTCCTCCTCTTCCCGCTCCCGTGCTTTCTCCTGTCCTTCCTCCTCGTTTTCCTCCCCAGAAGCACCTTTCTCTGTCCCCTTTTTGACACCCTGCCTCTTTCCTTCCTTCTCCTCCTCATCTTCCTCGTCATCTGCCCCAGGATCACTCTCAACACCCTTACGTTTATTAGATGGCTGTTGAGCCGACTCCAAACTCTTCCCCTTTTCCTCTTCCTCCTCCTCCTCTTCCCTTGCACCTACGTCACTCTCACCACCCTTCAGCATCCCTTTCGCTTTCCCTCCCCCACTCTCCACCCCTTCTTCTCCCCCCCCCTCCTCACCCTCCTCCTCCTCCTCATCGTACCGCACTGCACTCCTCTTCATCCTCTTCTGACCCTCTTCTTTCGTCCTCTCCTCCAACTCACCACCATCACCATCACCGTCATCATCATCATCACCATTCCTCTTACTCCCCTTTCCCTCACCCCCATCACCGCTCCCATCCCCCACCCCATCGTCATAATCAAACCCCTCCCTGCTTCCCCCTTTCCTCTCCTCCTTACTCCCCTCCTTGTTAGTCTCCTCCGTGCCAACCCCCTCCTCGTTAATCCCCTCCTCTCGTCTCCTCTCCTCTCGACCATCATCATCATCCTCACCGCCCTTATGCTCCACCCCATCGTCATAATCGAACCCTTCAGTCCGCCGCTTCTTATCTGCAGCCCTCCTCTTTCCCTCCTCCTCACTCTCTCTTTCCTCACTCTCTCCCTCCTCACTATCCTCACCATCAGCCCCCCTCCCACCAGCAACCCCTTTTCCCCTTTCTCGTGCACTGCCCCTCGCTCCATCCCCTCCTCCCTCCTCCTCGTTCTCGTTATTGCCGTCCTCGTATGTGTCTCTAGGAAGCTTCGACTTGGCTTCCTTCCTCCTCGTTCTCTGCTTCAACAGTCCCTCCTCGCTCGCCGTCTCCCCCTCTTCCGCCTCTTCTTTCCCCGCTTCCGCTTCCGCCTCCGTCTCCGCCTCCGTCTCCGCCTCCGCTCCCCCTTCTCCCGCTCCCCCTGCGCGCAACAGCTCTGACCGACCCACAGACTGCCCATCAGAATCCGGCCGAGGAAAAGCAGACCCCTTTTCCGTTACCGTCTCAGTTACCGTCTCGTCACCAGATGACTCCGTCTCAGCCTCCGACCGAGAACGGGTGGATTCGTTCTCGATGAGATCACCCTCACCTTTTTCAGCCGAAACTAAACCGGACGAATGTGCTTGTATCGAGGTTGATGGTATAGGATTAAACGGCAGCTTAGACTCCCCCGTTAATTCCGGTCTAGGCATCACATTAAGCTCCGCAGACGCCGGGAATTTGACCTCTGCCACGTCAGCATCTCCAATTCTCGCGCCAGTTCCGTCACCGGTTATTTTCTGATTGAACCGCTGCTTCGATATAGTCCCTTCTCCAAAGTCTATAGTGCGATGGTGCCGGCCGTGGCGGTGGCGGTGGTGCCGCCGGGTGTGCGGCGACTCTTTGGAAATTAAGATGAACGCCGCGAGAAAGAAAGCCGCGAGAACGTAGGTCGCGCCGCGAGCTCTCCGCACGGAGATGTTATAGCTCGCCGGCGCGACCCGGGGACTCCTAGGAACGTACATAATAGAGGGAGGGAAAATCGACGGAGAGGCTAAGAAGTGCGCTGGCTCCTACGTTTGGAAATGATTCATGAAGGCTCGGAAATTGCTACGGCAGGTTCACTTATAGACTGCGACGTTTCTGCACGCAATCAATCGGAATAGAGACGCGCAGCTGAAAGAAAAAAGAACGAAAAGATGGTCCAGTTGCAGGCTCTAGGGACTACAACAGTATTCTAGTCCCGCTGAATCTGCGACAGCCAGACGGAATTTGTGGAATGGTGATGTCAGACGCAGAGCTGACTGGCGGGAAAACCTGGGGATTTGCGGCTGGGACGGATTCGCGACGAGCTAACGAATGGATTTATGTTTTTGCGAAATTCATTACCACTCGCCATTACCGAATCTTCGAACTCCAAACTTGAGAGAAACACAGGAGTGCATGTTACAGACGCGGACGTTTTGGTTGACAAGGGAAACTGTGCTGCAGTTGGGACAATTTCTATAACAATCTCTCATTATGAAGCAGAGCAAGGTTAGGGAAAACGTTTTCTTCCAGTCCACCTAATCACGGTAGAAATGTGCCTACATACAGGTTACAGCGGAACATCCGGGTGCAACCTGAGCCAGCCACCAAATCCCAATCTAAACACCTACTTATGAAAACTTCCATCGCGGGACGTCTCACCACGACGCAAGTGCGCTACAGCTGCTCAGAAAATGTATGAGCAGAGCACAAAACCTTACGAGCAGAGCTACACAGCCTAAGCAAGAGGCATAAATTAACGAAGGTCGCGGAAGGGGATTGGAAGGGCACAAGACGACTAGGCCTGCAAATGCAACCATGCTGCTGGTGAAGGCGGTTGGTGTACGTACGGAGTGTGAGGGAAACAAGCAGAGAGCGGAAGGATTGTGAGAAACAGAAGCGAGAGATACTGCTGCTGCTACTGATGCTTTTGTTGCTGATACTGCTGCTGCTGCTGCTGCTGCTGCTGCTGCTGCTGTTGCCGCTGCTGCTGATGCTACTACTGTAGCTAGTTTCCCAGATGGACGACATTTCAATTGGATGCACTGTCACTGCTGCTCCGTTCCACCCTCTGCTACTCAACCAGCCTACCCCATTCCAGACCCCCTCGTTCCCTCCCAAACATCCTTGTTTTGTCCCCAGCATCCTCGCTTCGCCCCATATTCCTACAACCATTCGGCCCGTGCCCCCTGTGCTGCCTGTGTGAGCTGCGCTGCCCGTGCTGCCCTGTGCTGTCCATACTCTGACAACCTCCTGCACAGCATACTCAGCAGGAGACCTTCTCTTCTCCTGCTGCCGCCTTCCTGCCCTGGGGCATCCATGGACATTCCTGCCTCTTCCCCCTCGTGTCCCCCACCACAACTCACCTGCCCCCCTACCTCCACGGCCACTCTCCCCCCAATTCTCCCGCCTCCTCAAACACAGAGCCCCAGCACCGTCCCAGTCAGTTGCGAGAACTCCTTTCCCTGCCCACCTGCTCCCCACCCTTCCATTTCATCCTCCAGCCTCCTCATCCCCTCCATTTCCCTCTCCAGCCTCCTCATCCCCTCCCTTTCCCTCTCCAGCCTCCTCATCCCTTCCCTTTCCCTCTCCAGCCTCCTCATCCCCTCCCTTTCCCTCCACAGCCTCCTCATCCCTTCCCTTCGCCCCTCCAGAGACACAAAATCAACCCTTCACCCACGATCCTCTCCCCCCTCCCCCCCCCCATCATCTTCCCTCACAGATCGAACGACCCCTTGGGAATGATGTTGAGCCGCATGAGCGTCTCAGCGGCCGTCTTCCTGCCCTGCCCCGTGGCCGTCGTCATGAACCGCCCCAGCGCCTCCTCCCCTCATCCCCCCTCCTCACCCCCCGTTCAAAGGTCAAACGACCCCTTGGGGAGGATGTTCAACCTCATGAGCGTCTCAGCGGCCGTCTTCCTGCCCTGCCCCGTGGCTGTCGTCATGAACCGCCCCAGCGCCGTCACTGCAGGCTGGGAGTACTTGGGCGCCCGGTACTTCTTAATTGCAAACACCTTCTCCAGGATATACACCGCCCACTTGGTCAACTCCTTGGTCCGCCCCACCACCCCCGCTGCCGCTTCGATCACGTCTAGTTTGACTAAGAGGTCTGCTGCTCGCTCGTGGTCCCCTTCGTCTGCTAACAGGGTCGCCACCGAGGCTAGGCAGACCTCGGCTACCCGATTCTCGCTCCGTCGAACCAGCTCTAGTAGGATCGGGACGATGTCGCCTTCGACGAGGCAGAAGGTGGATTCCAGGCTGCATTTCCCGCCGTGCACCTTGCAGGATCGGAGTTTGTCTGTTCCCGTTGTCACAGGGCTGGCTCCCGAGCCTGTCCCGCCGGTGCTCGCCGAGGCTCGCGAGTTGGACCGGGAGAAGTTGAGCTTCCAGGTCATGGCCTTACCGAGCCTGCGGTCGAGCGAAGTTTGGTCAACCAGCTTTGGAGTTGAATGCGAGAGGTTCCCAAGAAGCACAGCAGAGGGGATCCGCATGACATCTGGCCCCATCTTGAGATAATGCACGGCCAGATGAATCACCCCCAGCCGAGCCACTATCTGCTGCGCTTCTATATCATCCGGATCGGCGAGCTTCGACAAGCCAGACAGGATCGCCTCTTGCAACCGAGCCGAGCTCGCAGCATTGGAGCTCCCCGGACCTGACGACGAGGTGGGCCCCGCCCCCGGGTTCAAATTCAGGAACTTGTGCATGAGAGTGAACACCTGCTCTTCAACCCGAACCAGTGGCCGCATCTGCTTGTTCCCCGCCATTGTCCCAAGCACAATCACTATCGCCTCCCGCTCCTCCCCAGGGAGTGGCCGTGCGAGGAGCGTGGCGAGAGTCTTGACTACTTCTGGGGGAGCGCACATCATTTCGGCAGCGTTGTGCTCCTGGCACAGGTGCCCCAGCAGCAGCAGCGCCGACGACCGCAAGCTCCCCGCCGCAAAGTGCGACGCGCTCTCCTGTAACACCTCGAAAATGGCGGTAACCGCACCGTCATCCTCCATCACCGCAGCCCGCATGGACTTGCTCTCCTTCGCCATGCACTCCAGAGTCCTCACCGCGTAGTCCCGGTTCGTCTGCGGGCCCGCCCGCAGCATCGTGATCAATCTAACGGCCGTCCCGTCCTCGTCCAGCGCGTCCAAATCCTGGTCGTCCATTGCCAGATTCGCCAGGGTCGCCTGCGCGGCATTCTTCACTTCTGCAGACCCGCGAGCAAGGGCTTTAACGAGCGCAGGGATCACGCCTGCCTTGGCCAGAGCCATGCGGTTGAGATCGGTGTGGGAGAGGTGCTCTATGGCTCGAGCAGCGGCCGCCTTGCCCTCTGGGGGCCCGTCGTTGAGCAGGGCGACGAGAGGCGGCAGCACCCCGCACTGCACGAGGGAGACGCGGTGGGCCTTGTTGACTCCCCACGTCATGACCCCGTCTGCCATCGTCATTCGGGTTTCCATGTCGCTCTCTGGAGGGGGGAGGGGGGGAGGGGGGGGAGGGGAGGAGTGAGGGAGAGAGGAGAAGATAGGCGAGTGGGGGAGAGACCTAGGGGTTGGAACCGACCATTTTGGACGCGTCTCAAGCCGTCTCAAGCACAGCTGACGACTCCAAGGCCACGATCCGGTAACCTTGTTTTGAGTCGACTCAAAATAAGCCGTCTCAAGCACAGCTGACAACTCCAAGGCCACGATCCGGTAACCTTGTTTTGAGTCGACTCAAAATAAGCCGTCTCAAGCACAGCTGACAACTCCAAGGCCACGATCCGGTAACCGTCTACCCAGCTGAGCAGCTTTATCATCTCCACCACCCTCACCGCCCCCCCCCCTCACCGCTTCCCCCCTTGCCTGCCCCACGCCCCTCCCCACCTCCCTCCCTCACACTCTCTCCCTTGCACTCACCCACTCTCACTCATTTCAACCACTAGCTCACTCGCTCTCTCACATACCCACACTAACGCAGACCCACAGAACAGACCCAGACGCAGACCCAGACACCTACCTACAGCCACCCAACCCCTTGCCCCCACACCCACCTGGTTCAAACAATACGATGAGGGCTTGAACATGCCCACGGACGCCATCTGAATGGCGACGTAGGGGATACCTGCCCCACCCATCCCCAACCCCACACCCACCTGGTTCAAGCAGCACGACGAGTGGCTTGAACATGCCAACGGACGCCATCTGAATGGCGACGTCGGGAATGATTGCCACACCCTTCCCCCTTCTCCCTCGCACACACCCTCTTACCCACTCCCACGCACCTGTCCCCCACCTCCGAAGCATCAATCCTCCCACCCACACCCCACCTGGTTCGAGCAGGACCACGAGCGGCTTGAACATGCCGACGGACGCCATCTGAATGGCGACGTAGGGGTCGTCGCGCTGCCTGCCAAGCCATCCGAAAGGCGACCCATTCCTCACATACCCACTCCCGCAAACCCACAGACTCTCACATTGACCCACACACTGAACCACACATCTACACACGCACCTGGCTTGAGCAGCACAACGAGCGGTTTGAACATGCCCACAGACGCCATCTGGATGGCGACGTAGGGGTCGCGCTGCCTGCCAAGCCATCCGAAAGGCGACCCATTCCTCACATACCCACTCCCGCAAACCCACAGACTCTCACATTGACCCACACACTGAACCACACACCTACACACGCACCTGGTTTGAGCAGCACAACGAGCGGTTTGAACATGCCCACGGACGCCATCTGGATGGTGACGTAGGGGTCGTCGCGCTGCCTGCCCCGCCATCTGAAAGGCGACCCATTCCTCACATACCCACTCCCGCAAACCCACAGACTCTCACATTGACCCACACACTGAACCACACACCTACACACGCACCTGGTTTGAGCAGCACAACGAGCGGCTTGAACATGCCCACGGACGCCATCTGGATGGCGACGTAGGGGTCGTCGCGCTGCCTGCCCCGCCCCCCTCCACCTCCTTCAGGCACCCTCTTACCCACCCCCACGCACCTCCTTCCGACACACCCACAGCCCACCTGGTTCGAGCAGCACAACGAGCGGCTTGAACATGCCAACGGACGCCATCTGAATGGCGACGTAGGGGTCGTCGCGCCAGTACGTCTCCAGCACGGCCTCCAGCAGCGCGCCCTTCTCGTCCTCCTGGTGCCAGTTGAGCAGCTTTATCATCTCCACCACCCCCATCGCGTCAGTCACCGCCCCCCGCAGCGCCGGGAAGCGCGAGAGCTCTAGGATCACCTGGATGGCTGGCGTCACGTCGGCTGTATCGTGCGTGATGAGGTGGATCATGGGGGGAATGCCCCCCGCGTCTGATATGGACGTCTGGAGAAAGGGGAAAGGGGAGAAGGGGACGGGGGGAAAAGATGGGGAGAAGGGAGGGCGGTGTTTGAGTGGACTCACCACCCCCATCGCCTCAGTCACCGCCTCCCGCAGCGACGGGAAGAGCGAGAGCTTCAGGAGCAGCCACATTTCTAGGAACTACACTAGAATCGTTTCTAGAGTCTATATTGGAGCCATTTCCGATCTGAACGGCACGTGATGGTGAGACCACAAGGTACCAGAAGCGAAGGTTCTCTTTCGCTTTCGGACAACGCGCTTCAGTATAACTCAGGACATGTTATTCGACTCAAAAAAGGAACAAAATAAAGATCCAAATGAGCGCGTTTCACTATAACCCACGGCTTGGGAAATTTACTTACGGCTTCTGCCTCTCCCAGGCTGGCGATGTTCCGCAGCACCGTCACCGCGCCCTCCCTTTTTATTCAGGCGCCTAAAAGATAAAAGGAAGAACAACAACTCACGGCTTCTGCCTCCCCCAGGCTGGCAAGGTTCCTCAACACCGTCACCGTGCCCTCCCTTATTTTTATAGGAGACTAAAAGAGAAAAGAAAAATCAACAACTTACGGCTTCTGCCTCTCCCAGGCTGGCAATGTTCCTCAACACCGTCACCGTGCCCTCCCGCACCGGCCCCGCGCCTCTCTCTGTCACCAGCCGCACCAGCGGCACCACTGCACCAATCTCCGCGAGCTGCGCGGCGTACTTCTTATCCTGCGACGACAGCTGCTGCATCGCCTCCACCGCCTCCTCCTCCCTCTCCCCTCCGCTCGCCTCCTTCGGCTCCTCCTTCGGCGGCGGCTCCGGGCCTTTCTTTTTCTTTTTCGCCGCCGCTTTTTTCTCCTCCTCTTTCTTCCGCTCCTCCTCCGCCTTTGCCGCTTCCTCCGCCAGAATCGCCTCCGCAGCTTCCCCCCCCGCGGCCAGCGCGGCAGCTCGCGCTTCCGCCGCCGCCGCGGCCTCCGCTGCTCGTTGCTCCATGCCGTCTCTTAATGTGCGCGACGCTTCGTCCAGCGTCTTTCGGTTCAGTGCGTCGTAACTCTCCTCTATGCCCTTCCGGATCTCCACGTTACACACCAGCTCCACGCTTTTGAGGTGCTTCCCGGACTTGGGACACACGCGCTTCCCCTTCGCGAAAAAGTTTTCGATCGCGTTGCGATTGTACGTGTCGCCAGTTTCGACCAGGGTAACCGGATCTCGCATCACCTCGCCCGTCATCGCGCACTTAAAGTTATCCGGAACCGCCATCCCGAGCTCCTCCCGGAGCCGCAGCGCGAGGCGGGAAAACGTCTGCGTGATCGGCGCTTCACTGGAAATACTCGCAAGGCTGACGAGCGTTTTTAACTCCGTTAGCTTATCTACGTCCATCCACCGCTCCTCCTTCTCCGCTACAAGCAGATCCCGCTGCACTTCCTCTTTAAGCACATCCGACTCCGACGACGGCATTTCTAGGAATTTCAACACGCGTTCCACCAGCTTCGTCGCGACCTTCTTGCTGTTCTTCGTCACGCCATCCTCCAACGCCAGCGACAGCTCCGCAACTTCCGGCTCGGAATCGAACGTCGCGACCCGCATTCGGCCGCGGAGGTCCGTCAGCCGATTCGCGACGTCCGTCGGTAGCGACGACATGATGCTCAGGACCGGCATGAGGTTCAGATCGTGACCCACCTCCTGAACCATCCGCTGCAAGTCGCCGACTAATTTGTCCGTGTCGAAGATTAAGAACAGCCGGCTGCACTCCGTGTGGTCCTTAGTCAACTTCTTAAGATCGTCCAGAGCCGTTTTCAGCCGCTTCATGCCGTTTAGGGCTTCCGCTGACGACTTGGTCAGGTCGCGTTTCGTGTTGAGCTGGGACAGGACATCGCGAAGCTCGCCTAGGTAAAACGCCATTGTTAAGAAACTCGCTGTGTCGACCGGAACTTTCGGCGCGAGTCGCCTGGTCTCCTCGATGGTCTTTAACATCGAGTCTACCATGGACGCCAAACTAGGGTTTGACGAACTCATGGCGACTTGTCTGGTACACTAATCCTAAGGATGCGTTAATACTAACGGAGATGATATTTAGAAATATCGCTGGACTTCGAACAGGCTAATGTTGGGATGATATCAGATGCGACGGACCTTGCGTTTCTGGCAGTGCTGACGCTGATGCTGACGCGTATGTTATGTCTGGTCTATCGGACACGGTTTAGGGGAATAAAACGGGTACGGACGAGGCGCCATAGGGACAATGCAGGATGATGTAAATAAATAGAAATCGGTAAGTAGTGAGTGAAACCTAAGGTGACCTAATAATCCTACTGATAATCCCTAGATCGGCACGACCCCGGAGCTCTAGCAGTATAACACGTGCCAAAATTGAAGAGCCAACGGATCAACTGCTCTGGAAGTAAGAGGCGAGAATAAAGGAGATAAGAAAGTCGTTGTACGGCGGATAAAGCGGAGATGGCACGAGCACACGAGTGTTATCTAAACATGGCAGGCAGGCTGATTGATGGGCCAACAACAGCCGAGGTTTCAAGGCTTGTCGCAGAACATTTTGGCTCATTACCCTACCTGACCAGTCTCTTTTATCTAAACAATCGCGCTGAAACGCAAACAACCTCATTCAGCCGCAAAAAAAAAGGTAAAGCGGAGCGAAAATATGTCATTGCCAGATTGGTGAGGGGTGGACGGAAGAAGGGAGGGAGGCAGTCTTGGGACGGGTGCGGGTGGTCGTTGGCGGAAACACTGTACAGTCCTGGGGTGCAGGGGGGAGGTTGGGCGCAGCGTGCGTAAAGGGCGCAAATGGCAATGGGGGACGACAACGACCAGTTTTCTCTCTCTGCTGCCTTACGTGCTTCTGGGGGCCGCGGATGAGGCGGGAGTTCGGGGAACGACCGGCGAAGAACGCGCGGAGACTTCAAGGTTGGTCACTGTGCTATCGTGTTGACCTGACAGGGAAAAGCCTGGCGAGTGCGCGAGTTAAAAGTAATGTGGTAACCGATCTTCGAGGCGCAGGACTGATTTCCAGTCTGTAATTTCGAGACGCAGACTGCACTCGTTGCGGGGTGAAGTCAATGGCGACAGTGCGAACCGGCCAGCGACAGCTGTGCGAAGAAGCAGGCAAGGCAGTAGTGATGACAACACCTCCGTGTAAATACACCCCAGGTCGAACTTTGGTGCAATGGTATAGATTTCAAAAGACGTGTCAGATCAAGGTACCAAAAAAAAAAAAAAAAAACTTCTAATAGCTTGACACCGAACTCAACCGCTTATTAATGAGATTCACCGTGACTGGATAATGAACTGCATTGCAAGGAACTACACGACCCGCACGCTCCTGGCCTTGTTCCCCCGCTAATGTCGGTATGGCCAGGGATCTGGTCCCTCCAAACCGCGTTTGATCACCTCGATTTTGCCGCTCCTTCCGCCGACATTCCCTCTTCCTCCATATTCCACACACACACCTTCAAAACAGCTACTACTCCAGATCCTGTAGTTGCACTTTTTTCTCAGCGATAAATGACTGCTAGATTCTAACGTTCGACGCCATGGCCCAGGTTGCGGATCTCCTACAGTCGCTAAGGGATGCGTTGAGTTCCTCTCCTGACGGCTGGCCAGTACCTCTGCCGGTAGTCGTCGCTGTGGTCGCTGGAGGGATCCTCCTGCTTACCTTTGTTTCTCTCAACGCGAAGCCTCGAAGAAAAGGTACACTTTCTATTGTTCTGAAGCTGGTGAATCTAGGTTCGATAAAAAAAGGCCCGAGCGTCCGCGTTCGTTGTCACATCCACACTAGATTCACGTCTCAGAACCCAGACGGGGTATCCCGTGACGCGTTTCAAATCAAGGAGGCGATCGACCGTCTGCTCCATTCACCCGTTTCACTGACTGGGGAACGATGGCGGTGATCTTAACTGATATCGAGCGGTTATCGCGTTAAAGACGCTCAATAGTCGTATGCCATCCTCATTCTTTTCCCGTCTTCTCCCCTCCGTCGCTCCTCCAGTAGCTCTACATCCTGAGGAGTGGCGCAAGTTCCAGATTATCGATCGCACCAACATCACCCACAACGTCGTCAAGTTCACCTTCTCGCTTCAGACGCCCGACACGGTGCTCGGCCTTCCCATCGGACAACACGTCGTCCTGCAGTAAGAATGTCAACGCGTTTAGAAAAGTCAACGCGTTGCGTTGACCTTTTGTAATCCTCGGTTGCTCCCTCCAGACGCCCGACACGGTGCTCGGCCTTCCCATCGGACAACACGTCGTCCTGCAGTAAGAATGGCTTGCAGTAGGAATGATTCTTGAGACGCCTCGAACATCGATCGCACCAACATCACCCGCAATGATGTCGTCAAGTTCAACTGATAACTTTTCAACGTTAAACCGCGTGTATTGAGACGTCTCTATCGTGGACCAGAGCAACCTCGCCAGACCAACCTCACCAGAGCAACCTCACCAGAGCAACCTCACCAGAGCAACCTCACCAGAGCAACCTCACCAGACCAACGTCAACAATGGCTTTAAAAGATCGCTTCTCGCTCCTGGCTTGCAGCTCTCCATCGATCAACTCTGAGTTGACTTTGGAGTTGACTCAAAAGTCAACTCGCTTCTCGCTCCAGCTTCCAGCTCTCCTTCGAACGACTCCGAGTTGACTTTGGAGTCGACTCTGAACCCCAAACCCTAAACCTTCGAACATCTCCTCCTGCTGATTCTCTACATGTGATTCCTCACCCCCTGTTCTGCCGTATTGTTTCACTGTCCCCTCAGTTTCTTTCTTTCTGTCGTACGCGTTCCCTCCCTCATCCGTCTCCCGGACCAGGGGGAAGGACGAGAGCGGGGAGGAGTTTACGCGGAAATACACGCCAACAACGCTCGACACCGATGTCGGATGTGTTGACATCGTCATCAAGTTGAAGTGCTCAAGGCTTTTTATGCGTCTCAGTATTCGTCTTTTGAGACGTGTCAAAGCCAACAACGCTCGACACCGATGTCGGATGCGTGGATATCGTCATCAAGTTGACGCGCTGCCATTCCCCTTCCCATCCCGAGTTTAGGAATTCTCTAAAGTGACTCAGGAATAACCGCACCTCCCCACACCCGCTTCCCTCCTGTGATGAGTCGACTAAAAAATCGACTAATCACACTCAGGCAAAACCGCCCCTCCCCACACCCGCTTCCCTCGTGTGATGAGTCGACTAAAAAATCGACTAATCACACTCAGGCAAAACCGCCCCTCCCCACACCCGCTTCCCCTCTCCCCCCCACACCACCAGACCCCAACGGCGCCATGCCTCAGTACCTCAACAAGCTGGAAGTCGGCCTCCTGCTCCTCACTCGACTTAAAAGCATACGAATCATCTCTGCATGCCTACTCGCCCGTTTCTTCCCTTCATTCTGCCACATCTACCCCAACGGCGCCATGCCTCAGTACCTCAACAAGATGGAAGTCGACAACTGCTCCTCATCCGACTCAAAACAAACTGGATAATTTGTTTACACCCCCTCCCACCCCCCCTCTTCTCCAGAATTACCCCAACGGCGCCATGTCTCAGTACCTCAACAAGATGGAAGTCGGCAACTTCGTCGCCATGCGAGGGCCCAAGGTGAGGAGCGGTGGAGAGAGGTGAGGAGCGGTGGAGAATGTGAAAAGAGAGGATTTTTTGTCCTTCGCCCAATCTATCCCGATACACGTCTTGAGGGCACCTCTCGCTACAATACCATGTCATTTGTATATTTATGCTTCAACGATCTACTTTTTTGGAATCATGGTGACATTTGAGTCGACTCACTCCCCCCATTCCTGCCTTCCCTGCCCCCATTCCCTCCTCTCTTCCCCACCCAATCTCCCCCCCAGGGTAAATTCAAGTACCGCCCCAACATGTGCCGTGCGATGGGCATGATCGCAGGAGGCACCGGGGTGACTCCCATGTTCCAGGTGGGTTGGAAGTGGTGCTGCTGTGTTTCACGTGGGTTGGGAATGGTGCTGCTGTGCATCAGGTGTGCCTTGTGTATTGATTCAAAAGGCCTGCTTGCAGGAGGCACCGGGGTGACTCCTGGTTGCAGGTGGGTAAGGGATGGCTCTGCTGTGCTTCAGATGGGTTGGAAGTGGTGCTGCTGTGTTCCAGGTGGGTTGGGAATGGTACTGCTGTGCGTCAGGTGTGACTTTTGTACTGATTCAAAAGGCCTGCTTGCAGGAGGCACCGGGGTGACTCCTGGTTGCAAGAGCCATTCTGGAAAACCCTGCAGACCACACCAATGTCATTTCCTCTCTCCCCACTCCTCCCCATTCTCCCTTGCCCCTTGCCCCCTTCTCCCTGCATCCTACCCCAACCAGGTAGCACGAGCCATTCTGGAAAACCCTGCAGACCGCACCAGCATCTCGCTCATTTTTGCCAACGTCACAGCCGACGATATCCTGCTCAAGGTGGGTGCAGAGCTCCCAACACATGTGCTGTGCAGAGCTCAACACACAAGCGCTGTGATAGACTCTGTGCTGTGGCGCTTGTTACAGCGCCTGAGGTTTTGCTTTCTTGGGTCCCTGGTGATGTTTACTGGAGTGCTGGGAGGGATTGCGCCCGAGGTCTGGCTTGCTAATCTCTGAACATCGCTTTTGAGGCGCCTCACCAGTTGTTTACTGGAGTGCCGAGAGTGCTCCTGAGGTCTCGCTTGCTATTTCCTGAGCATTGCAAACCAAACGCACCACATCAGCGGACCCTTTTGTTTTTAGGCGCCTCAGAAATAGAGCGTGCCTGAGGTCTGGCTTGCTTTTTTCTGACCATCGCAAACCAAGCGCACCACATGAGCGTCCAATGGATCCCCACCAATTTCTACGCGAAGGTTTTTTATAAGCAAGCCTACCACTACATGCAGTATTTCTTAACTAAATTAAGCTGCTGCCACGCAAAGTCATGTCTCTCAAGTGGGGATCTATTGGTTTGGCTTGCCTTTTTGTGAACATCGCAAACCAAGCGCACCACATGAGCGGACCGGTTTGTGTCTCATGTCTTCCTTCCCCTTGGGATTTGCCACCTCAGCTCCTCACCCCCTCCGCCGTTCTGCGCCCCTCTGCCCCTCCGCCCTTCCGCTCCCCTCTGCCCCTCCGCCCCTCTGCCCCTCTGCCCCTGCGCCCTTTCTCCCTGTTACAGGACGAGCTAGAGGCGCTGCATAAGTAAAGTTTTGACACGTGTAGTTTTGAGACGCATCAAAGCTTCCAACCCTCTGCCCCTGCGCCCTATCTCCCTGTTACAGGACGAGCTGGAGGCGCTGCATAAGTACAGTTTTGACACGTCTAGTTTTGAGACGCATCAAAGCTTCCAACCGTCTGCCCCTGCGCCCTATCTCCCTGTTACAGGACGAGCTGGAGGCGCTGCATAAGTACAGTTTTGACACGTCTAGTTTTGAGATGAATCAAAGCTTCCAACCCTCTGCCCCTACGCCCTATCTCCCTGTTACAGGACGAGCTGGAGGCGCTGCATAAGTACAGTTTTGACACGTCTAGTTTTGAGACGCATCAAAGCTTCCAACCCTCTGCCCCTGCGCCCTATCTCCCTGTTACAGGACGAGCTGGAGGCGCTGCATAAGTACAGTTTTGACACGTCTAGTTTTGAGACGCATCAAAGCTTCCAACCCTCTGCCCCTACGCCCTATCTCCCTGTTACAGGACGAGCTGGAGGCGCTGCATAAGTACAGTTTTGACACGTCTAGTTTTGAGACGCATCAAAGCTTCCAACCCTCTGCCCCTGCGCCCTATCTCCCTGTTACAGGACGAGCTGGAGGCGCTGCATAAGTACAGTTTTGACACGTCTAGTTTTGAGACGCATCAAAGCTTCCAACCCTCTGCCCCTACGCCCTATCTCCCTGTTACAGGACGAGCTGGAGGCGCTGCATAAGTACAGTTTTGACACGTCTAGTTTTGAGACGCATCAAAGCTTCCAACCCTCTGCCCCTGCGCCCTATCTCCCTGTTACAGGACGAGCTGGAGGCGCTGCATAAGTACAGTTTTGACACGTCTAGTTTTGAGACGCATCAAAGCTTCCAACCGTCTGCCCCTGCGCCCTATCTCCCTGTTACAGGACGAGCTGGAGGCGCTGCATAAGTACAGTTTTGACACGTCTAGTTTTGAGATGAATCAAAGCTTCCAACCCTCTGCCCCTACGCCCTATCTCCCTGTTACAGGACGAGCTGGAGGCGCTGCATAAGTACAGTTTTGACACGTCTAGTTTTGAGACGCATCAAAGCTTCCAACCCTCTGCCCCTGCGCCCTATCTCCCTGTTACAGGACGAGCTGGAGGCGCTGCATAAGTACAGTTTTGACACGTCTAGTTTTGAGACGCATCAAAGCTTCCAACCCTCTGCCCCTACGCCCTATCTCCCTGTTACAGGACGAGCTGGAGGCGCTGCATAAGTACAGTTTTGACACGTCTAGTTTTGAGACGCATCAAAGCTTCCAACCCTCTGCCCCTGCGCCCTATCTCCCTGTTACAGGACGAGCTGGAGGCGCTGCATAAGTACAGTTTTGACACGTCTAGTTTTGAGACGCATCAAAGCTTCCAACCCTCTGCCCCTGCGCCCTATCTCCCTGTTACAGGACGAGCTGGAGGCGCTGCATAAGTACAGTTTTGACACGTCTAGTTTTGAGACGCATCAAAGCTTCCAACCCTCTGCCCCTACGCCCTATCTCCCTGTTACAGGACGAGCTGGAGGCGCTGCATAAGTACAGTTTTGACACGTCTAGTTTTGAGACGCATCAAAGCTCCCAACCCTCTGCCCCTACGCCCTATCTCCCTGTTACAGGACGAGCTGGAGGCGCTGCATAAGTACAGTTTTGACATGTCTAGTTTTGAGACGCATCAAAGCTTCCAACCCTCTGCCCCTACGCCCTATCTCCCTGTTACAGGACGGGCTGGAGGCGCTGCATAAGTACAGTTTTGACATGTCTAGTTTTGAGACGCGTCAAAGCTTCCAACCCTCTGCCCCTACGCCCTATCTCCCTGTTACAGGACGAGCTGGAGGCGCTGCATAAGTCAGCGCCTGACCGGTTCTCCATCTACTATGTGCTGAACGAGGTATGTAATGAACGAGGTATGTAATGAACGAGGTATGTACTGAACGAGGTATGTAATGAACGAGGTATGTACTGAACGAGGTATGTACTGAACGAGGTGGGGGGGGGAGTGGGCTTGGTGATTCCGCCTATTATCAAAGGGGTGGGGGGGGGAGTGGGCTTGGTGATTCCGCCTATTAGCAAAGGGGTGGGGGGGGGAGTGGGCTTGGTGATTCCGCCTATTAGCAAAGGCTACTTCCCCACACCTTCCTGTTAGAATCTTAGGTGAGAATGGTTGACTAGGAAGCAAGGAAGGGTACAAGTAGAATGTCGAGAGAATTGTGTACCCCCTAAGGCTAAACCCACTATAGCCTAGACAAATGTAAACACATGAACTAAGCCTAGATATAACTAAGCATATATGTTTGACACACCCCCATAGGCGAAGTGGGGGATAGCCAGAACAAGTAATGGTCACAAGACCAGTCAAGAAAAGCAAAGCAAGCTCAGGGTGGATCACAAAGTCACCACACAGTCCGAGCACAAGCAAAGGGCCAAAAGGCCAGTTCACATGCAGAGTTATATATAGTGAACAAACAATACAGTGATCATACTCTAACAAGTGCAAGCATGCAGGTATATAGATAGATCACAGTACAGGCAGAGTCAGGCAGTAAGTAAGCGAGGCAAAGTAGGCACAAGGCCTAACACAGTAACAAAGCGCTGATGGTCACCAGGCGGAAGTGCCTTGGTGAAGACATCAGCAGTGTTGTCCCGAGTGGCCACGTACGCTAGACGAAGCTGACCACGCTGCTGCAACTCTCGAGCAAGAAAGTATCGCAGAGCTATGTGCTTCGTTCTGTGCTCCAGTCTGTGCTCCTGACACAAGGCTATCATGGCCTTGTTGTCTACGTACAGGACTGGAGGCGAACGAGGCTGCTCTCCCAGGTCGGTCAGCAAGTAGGTGAGCCAGCGTAGCTCCTGAGCAGCCATGGCTCCAGCGTAGATCTCAGCCTCACAGTTGGAGCTGAGAACTGAAGACGAGCGGGTAGACCGCCAAGAAACCGAGCCGGACCCAAGGCTGAAGGTGTAACCCTGCGACGACCGCTGCGTAGCTCAGTCGTCAACCCAGGAGGCGTCTGCGTGACCAGTGAGGACAACAGGACCCCGTCCTCCAAGCACAAGCCCCATGCCCGACGTACTGCACAGGTAACGCAGTACCCTCTTCGCAGCATCCCAGTGCACCTTTCGGTGCCTACCGGGAGCCACGTAGCGAGCCAGAAGGCTGAGAGGGTACGCGAGGTCTGGTCGTGTGCAAGTCATCAGGTACATGAGGCAACCCACAAGCTCTGGGTACGGACCACTCGGCTCTACGGACTCGTCCGAAAGTGGAGCTGAGAGCGAGTGGCTGGTAGACAGAGGAGTGAGCTGTGGCGAGGAGTACTGGAAGCCGAAGCGCTGAAGGACCTGGTGCACCATGTGTGACTGAGTCAGTGTGATGGTGCGCCGTGCTCTGTCCCGGGTGATCTGCAGGCCAAGGTAACTGCGCAGTTCACCCAGGTCAGTGCAGGTATGTCTCTTCTGCAGCTCGGACTTCACTAGGGTCAGTGCCTCAGTGTCAGCCGTGGCAAAGACGAGGTCGTCGACGTACACTAGGACGTAGAAGGGCGGCAGCGAGGTGTCGGTGCGTAGGAACAGCGACGGGTCTGCTGTAGAAGGAACAAACCCAAGAGCCGCAAGCGTAGTCCTGAGTGTGTCGTGCCACTCGCGAGGCGCCTGGCGGAGACCGTAGACTGGCCTGCGGAGGCTCCACTGGGTACCTGTAGGAAACGACCCAGTGAAACCAGGTGGTCGGCGCAGCCAGATCTCCTCGTGCAGGCTGCCCTGCAGAAAGGCAGTACTGAAGTCCAGGGAGTGTAACTCGTAGTCACGCTGAGCAGCTACGTGCAGCAACACCCGAAGAGTAGTCATCTTCGGGGTGGGGGAGAAGGTCTGGAAGTAGTCAACTCCCTGTCGCTGACTGAAACCTCGAGCAACGTAACGCGCCTTGAAGGCAGGCGGAGAACCTGGCGGCCGCTTCACCCTGAAGATCCACATGCCATCGACTATGTTCACCCCAGGTGGGGGAACCTCGTCGACGTAAGTGCCTGTGGACTTCCAGGATGCCATCTCGGCATCCATAGCTGCCTGCCACTGAGAGGAGTAAGGACCCGTAATCGCCTCTGCGTAAGAGCGCGGGGTCGGGATGTCAGGAGCATCCGGGTCTCCCTCAGGGGCAAGCAGCAAGGAGGCGAAACGAGGTACAGCAGCTGCAAGACACTCAAAGTCCTCCTGCCTATCCTCAAGGACGTCCGTACCAAGAGCACACTCACCCCCGACGGACGGAGGACTGGCAGGCACAGACTCAGCAACTAGAGCAGAGGCGTAGTCGAGACGGCAGGCAGCAGCAAAGTCAAGTAGCTCAGCAACGAGAGCAGAAGCAGCAGCAGACTCAAAGGACGGGTCAGTGACAGCAGTGGCAAGGAGACGAGCGACAGTGGGACTGGCAGCACGCGCTCGGTCAGACTCAGGGTCAGTGACCTCAGGAAGAGAGGACTCAGGAGGAGCAGGCAGAGGAACACGCAGTGGAACAGAGGAAGGACGGAGTGCCATGGTGTGCGTGCCTGGGACAGGGGGAGGACGCGAACGAGGAGCGCGACGAGCAGTGCGAACAGGTCAGACAGGACGAGACGCAGGCTCACGACGCTCTGTAAGACCTCCGGACTGCTCAGTGTAAGGAGAGGGAACAGGCAGTGGGGAGGCTGGCTGTAACGGCGGCTGCGACTGGTCAGGCGGTGGACACAGGAAGGGAGGAGGAAGACCAGTAGAAGACGGGACACCAAGAACCTGCTCAAGCACGGGAACGAAGTACGGGCGCGGCCGCTCAGTGCCTCCAGCACCTCCAGTACCAGGATCAGCAGCTCCATCTCCTGCAGCTCCAGCGCCTCCTGCGCCAGGGCCTCCAACTCCAGCTACTCCAGCTCCAGCGCCTCCAGCGCCAGCTGCTCCAGGCTCCGTAGGGTCTCCAACTCCAGTAGTAACAGCAGCACCTCCAGCTCCAGCGCCTCCAGGCTCGCCAGCTCCGGGAGCCCCACTCCGACGGTGTGCGCGCTGAACAAGCCACTCACGCAGCTGCTGCGAGGACAGTCGCGGTGAAGCACCAGCAGGACCTCCAGACGAAGTAGCACCCCGAGGCTCAGCACCCCCAGACTCCGCACCCTCGGACTCAGCACCCTCAGGCTCCGCACCCTCCGACTCAGCACCCCCAGGCTCAACACCCTCAGGCTCAGCACCCCCAGACCCAGCACCCTCAGACCCCGCACCCCCCGGCTCCGCACCCCCAGACGCAGCACCCCCAGACGCAGCACCTGGAGCAGCACCTGAGACGACAGCTACCTGAACAGGCGCAGTACCAGGGAGAGGGTCTACCTGAGACACTCCCGAGGGAGCAAGACCCTGGGGCGGGAGGGGGTCTACCGGAGGCAGACCGGGAGCAAGGAAGAGAGGCGGGGGCGGGGAAGGGGCAGAGCGGTAGGGGAAGAGATGGTAGAAGGGAACCGACTCGTCGAACGTGACGTCCTGAGAAGGGAGGACACGGCGCGAGGTGGGGTGGTAAAACTGCCAACCAGGTGCATCAGGGACAAAGCCAAGGAAGATGCAGGGAATAGCGCGGGCGGAGGGCTTGTCCGCGGACGTATCGCGAACAAAGGCACGAGAACCCCAGACCCGGAACACCGACGCATCGCCAACCTTCCCCGTCCAACGCAGTGTAGGCGAGGTCTCCGGCAAGGAGACACGGGGCCAAAGGTTGAGCTGATGCGCAGCGTACCGGACCGCAAACGGCCACAGAAAATGGGGAGCTGCGGCATGAATCATGGAGGTACCAGCGACCTCCATGACTAAGCCAATGCGGCGCTCAGCAATCCCATTTTGCTGAGGGGAGTCCGGAAGCATGAACGACTGGGTGATGCCCTCCCCACGACAAAAGTCCCGCAAGAGGTCGGAGGAGAACTCACCACCTCTGTCAGAGTGCAGACGCAGGACAGGAGGGTCCTGGCCGAAACGCGCACGCAGCTGGAGACGGACTGTGCGGATCCAAGGGATCAAGACAGTAGAGACTTCACCCTTGCTGCGCAAGGGGAAGACTGTGGTGTATCGCGTGTAGTCGTCAACAACCAGCAGAAAGTAGCGCTCGCGCCCCTGTCCACTGACGCGGGCTGGGCCCCACACGTCCATGTGGAGGGTCTGCAGGGGAGCAGTCGTCGGGGGAAACTCGGAGGAGTGAGGAGCGGCGCGCTGCCGTCCCTCGACGCAAGGAAGACAGGGCGGGGCAGGCGAGGGCGGCAGGGGAGGCAGAGACCTGGGGAGACCAGAGACAAGGAGACGGGAGTGCATGCCACGAAGGCGTGGCAGGGAGGGGTGACCCAGGCGGTGGTGCCAAAGAAGAGTCTGGTGCGACAGGAGGCGACACGAGCAAGAGGCGGCTACCTGACCTGACGCGGACACCTGAGCAGACGCAGCGACCTGAGGAGGCTCGGTAGCCAGTGTGTACAGACTCGACCCTGGCCGACGAGTGAACGTAGCCAGGTGACGCCCCGTCCGTGTGCACGTGCAGATCGACACACGCTGACCCCCAGGAGTGGTGGTACTGACCATCGCATCCTGAAGGGCAGCGGTACTCACCAAGTTCGTAGAGAACGAGGGGAGGTGAAGACCTGACAGAGAGCCGGACGGAACCGCCGGACACGGGAGGACAGCGGAGAAACTGGCAACGACCGGGCCCCCAGAGGGATCAGCCAGTCTGACCGGAACAGGTGCAGGAAGAGGAGTGAGAGTGGTGCTGTCACGAAAGAAACAGCGCGAGGCACCGGAGTCTAACGTGAAGGTGTGCAGGGCCTCAGCAGGCGCAGTACCAGGGGGAGTACCAGACGCACTAGCACCTAGAGCAGCAGCGGCTATACCTGGGTCAGGCGGCACACACCAGTAACAGTCACTCTCAGCACTAAAAGACAAAGCATACATGGCAGAGATAATAACATCAAAGTCTAGGTCAAAGATAGCAACTCCCGACCTAAGCAACTCCGCCCAGCGAGGGCGCTCGACGTCATCACCAAACTCAGTGCGCCAGGCGTCGTCAAGGCGGGCAAAACAGCAGCGCTCAGTGTGAAACCTCCCGCATGTCCGGCCCGCACGGGCACCCGTGCGAATGACATACGGGCAGGTCTCACTACCCTCGCCCGCCCCACGCCGAAACAACCACTCACGGAGCTGCTGAGGTGTCTGAGTCTCGCTCCGACGCTGCTGCTGCTGGCCCCGACCGCCACCAGGGCCGCCACGCTGAGGTCCAGAACGACTACCACTGGTCCCACCGCCTCCACTGCCGCCACCCCCTCCGCCGCCTCCACCGCCGCCACCAGAGCCTCCACCTCCGCCACCGGTCCCACCGCCGCCACCACCTCTACCGCCTCCGCCTCCTCTACCGCTGCCCCCACTGCCACGCCCACCGCCACCTCCACCACCACCGCTGCCTCCTCCACTACCCCGGCCACCCTTGCCCTTGCTGTTGCGGCGCTTCGTACTAGTCGAAGCAGCACCGACGTCCTCAGGAACAGAGACGGCTGCAGCAGCAGCAGAGGCGAAGGAGGAGGAAAGGGGGGAGGGGGAGCACCCCTCAAAAAAGGGTGAGCGCGGGGTGCACGAGTAGCACCCACAGCAACTGCACTAGTCTCAGCTGCGAGGAGATGCTGCTCGAAGAGGTCAACAGTGAGGGAAGTGGGGTCGAGGATGAGGAAGTGGTCCCTGACAGAGCGAAGAGAGTCAGGGAGGCGAGTGACTATGAAGTAGAGGGTGATGAACATGGGGGGCTGGTTCGTGGGAAAGAACTCAGCAGGAACGGCAGCGCGGGTAGCGGGCGTCGCTAGTGCGCAGGTGGGTAACCAGGTCCGCTACTGTGGCAAAAGCCGACAGCTCAGGGAAAAGGTAGGCAGTAGCAGTCTGCCAAGAGCAGCAGTGGCAGGGGAGGAGTAGCGAGCAACGACAGCGTCGTACAAGGCCTGTGCTGTCCTGTGCTCGCCAAAGTGAGCACATTCTGTTGCGGGCAGGTGGTTGCGAATGGCCAAGCGGGCAGTAGCATCACGAGAGAGCCACTGGGAACGAGTCGAAATGTCAGCTGTGGCGGGGAGGGGCTGGAGCGGCACCGGACACGAGGTCAAATAGCGAGACACTGTCCCGACTGTCGCTCAGTAGGTACAGTTGCAGATCGTCGTGCCACGTGTCAAATGCTACAGGTCTGCCCTCCGGGTCGAACGGGAGAACTCGAAGCAACGCCATAGGGGCAGAGGAGCCTGGGGGCCGCGGGGCCAAACAGGGGGCCGAGGGGCCTAGGGGGCCGAGGGGCCAAACAAGGGGCCGGGGGGCCGGGGGGTGCCAGTCTCTGAGGAGGGGCCGAGGGGCCTAGGGGCCGCGGGGCCAAACAAGGGGCCTGGGGGGCCTTAGGGGGGCCGAGGGGCCTAGGGGGCCGAGGGGCCAAACAAGGGGCCTTGGGGTGGCCGCGGGGCCAAAGTAGGGGCCAGGGGGGCCTAGGGGGCCGAGGGGCCAGAGTAGGGGCCGGGGGGGCCTTAGGGGGGCCGAGGGGCCTAGGGGGCCGAGGGGCCAAACAAGTGGCCTTGGGGGGCCGCGGGGCCAAATAAGGGGCCTTGGGGGGCCGAGGGGCCAAAGTAGGGGCCGGGGGGGGCCTAGGGGGCCGAGGGGCCAAAGTAGGGGCCGGGGGGGCCTTAGGGGGGCCGAGGGGCCTAGGGGGCCGAGGGGCCAAACAAGGGGCCGGGGGGCCGGGTGCCAGTCTCTGAGGAGGGGCCGAGGGGCCTAGGGGCCGCGGGGCCAAACAAGGGGCCTGGGGGGCCTTAGGGGGGCCGAGGGGCCTAGGGGGCCGAGGGGCCAAACAAGGGGCCTTGGGGGGCCGCGGGGCCAAAGTAGGGGCCGGGGGGGCCTAGGGGGCCGAGGGGCCAGAGTAGGGGCCGGGGGGGCCTTAGGGGGGCCGAGGGGCCTAGGGGGCCGAGGGGCCAAACAAGGGGCCTTGGGGGGCCGCGGGGCCAAATAAGGGGCCTTGGGGGCCGATGGGCCAAAGTAGGGGCCGGGGGGCCTAGGGGGGCCGAGGGGCCAAAGAAGGTGCCGGGGGGGGGGGGGGGGGGGGGCTTAGGGGGGCCGAGGGGCCTAGGGGGCCGAGGGGCCAAACAAGGGGCCTTGGGGGGGGCCGCGGGGCCAAATAAGGGGCCTTGGGGGGGCCGAGGGGCCAAAGTAGGGGCCGGGGGGCCTAGGGGGCCGAGGGGCCAAAGTAGGGGCCGGAGGGGCCTTAGGGGGGGGCCGAGGGGCCTAGGGGGCCGAGGGGCCTAACAAGGGGCCTTGGGGGGCCGCGGGGCCAAATAAGGGGCCTTGGGGGCCGAGGGGCCAAAGTAGGGGCCGAGGGGGCCTTAGGGGGGCCGAGGGGCCTAGGGGGGCCGAGGGGCCAAACAAGGGGCCTTGGGGGCCGATGGGCCAAGTAGGGGCCGGGGGGCCTAGGGGGCCGAGGGGCCAAAGTAGGTGCCGGGAGGGGGGGGCCTTAGGGGGGCCGAGGGGCCTAGGGGGCCGAGGGGCCAAAGTAGGGGCCGGGGGGGCCTTAGGGGGGGCCGAGGGGCCTAGGGGGCCGAGGGGCCTAGGGGGCCGAGGGGCCAAAGTAGGTGCCGGGGGGGCCGGGGTGCCAGGCTCTGAGGTGGGGCCGGGGGGGCCTAGGGGCCGCGGGGCCAAACAAGGGGCCTGGGGGGGGCCTTAGGGGGGCCGAGGGGCCTAGGGGGCCGAGGGGCCAAACAAGGGGCCCTTGGGGGCCGAGGGGCCAAAGTAGGGGCCCCAGGTAGGGGCCGGGGGGCCTAGGGGCCGCGGGGCCAAACTAGGGGCCGAGGGGCCAAGGGGGCCGAGGGCCAAACAGGTACAGGGCCGAGCGACGGGCTAGGTACAGGCCGGGGCGACGGGCTAGGTACGGGCCGGGCGCAGGCGTCGAAGTTGACGGGCCAGCTGGGCCGAGGCGACGGGCTAGGTACGGGCCGGGCGACGGGTTAGGTACGGGCCGGGCGACGGGCTAGGTACTGGCCGGGCGACGGGCTAGGTACGGGCCTGGCGCGGGCGACGAAGACGGCGGGGCCAGCGGGGCCGAGGCGACGGGCTACGTACGGGCCTGGCGACGAGTTAGGAACGGGCCGGGGCGACAAGCTAGGTACGGGGCCGGGCGCGGGGCGACGAAGACGGCGGGGCCAGCGGGGCCGAGGCGACGGGCTACGTACGGGCCTGGCGACGAGCTAGGTACAGGCCGGTCGCGGGCGACAAAGTCGACGGGGCCAGCGGGGCCGAGGCGACGAGCTAGGTACCGGCAGGGCGAACGGGCTAGGTACTGGCCGGGCGCGGGGCGACAATGTCGACGGGCTAGGTACGGGTAGTGCAGTAGGTGGTGGGCCCATTGAGACTAGGTCCTAAGACTAGTTGCTCTTAATACCATGTTAGAATCTTAGGTGAGAATGGTTGACTAGGAAGCAAGGAAGGGTACAAGTAGAATGTCGAGAAGAATTGTGTACCCCCTAAGGCTAAACCCACTATAGCCTAGACAAATGTAAACACATGAACTAAGCCTAGATATAACTAAGCATATATGTTTGACACTTCCTGCTGTGTCTCCCCCACACCCTCTCTTCTCCCCTCCCTGCTCTCTCTGCATCAGCCACTGGAACGATGGGCGGGGGGAGTGGTCTTTGTCACTCCCGACTTTTGAGTCGACTCGAAAGTCACCTCGTTACTATGGCACATGACACATCTTCTCCCTCCCTGCCGCTCCTGCATCAGCCACTGGAACGATGGGCGGGGGGAGTGGTCTTTGTCACTCCCGCCATGATCAAAGAGCACAGCACATCCCCTGCACATGCCTGCCTGAAACACCACTTATCAGCGGTGGGAGACTTTGGGTGGGCTTTGTCACTCCCTCCGCGATCAACGAGCACAGCACATCCCTCCACGTGCCTGCTGTGTTTCTCCAACTACTTCCCCACGCAACCTCTCTCGCTCCCTCCCGGCCACACCCCCTCCCTCCCTACTCACCAACAGCCACCGGAAGGGTGGAGTGGAGGAGTGGGCTTTGTAACTCCCGCCATGATCCAACAGCACATCCCTGCACCTGCTCCCGATGTCATGGTAGGTGCTGCTGTTGCCTTGCGTGGTTGATATGAACTAGCGTCATGTGTCGAGTGTGTGTTGACCCCCTGG